AGGCATTTACTTCCGAGAAACTTAAAAAAACTCCCTGGAGGCCTCTCAAGAGCTCCCGAGCGGCTTCTAAGAGCTCCGGCGAGGCATCTTAGCAGCTCCCGAGAAGCTTCAGAGCATCCGATAAGCCTCTTTGGAACTTCTGACTGGCCTCTTACGAGCTCCCGAACGGCGACCTCTTTCGAGCACCAGAAAAACCACTGACGAGCTTCCGAGGGGCCAAGTAGGAGCTCCCAAGAGTCCTCTTGAGAACGCCCAGGAGGCCACAAGGATTACACCACCTAGCTAGCACAACATAGATAACACCAAACTGTTTGCGCCTCATAGTTTGCACAGCTTATGTTGCACCGCATAGGGGACACCACGTGCACTGGACAACATAGCGTACACTATATGGCGTACCCCACATAGAGTACACCACAACACGTAGCAAACATTACATAACGTTCACCGCCTCCCTTGCATAAACTATGGCGTACCGCATAGCTTGCACCGCAGAAGTGACACCGAATGGGTCAATTTTTGCGTCTAGGGGCCCTCTTGGGACGCATGTTGGAGGCTTCTTGGGGCGTCTTGGGGGCGTCCTTGGACGTCTGGGGTCTCCTGGGGCCTCTTGAGGGGCCTCCTGGGGGCCTCCTGGCGGCCTCTTGGGGCGGAAGGCTCGAGCTTGCGGTTCGTGGTCCCCCTCTGGGCCCCCTCTTGGGCCCGTCTTGGGGCCCTCTTGGGCCATCTTGGGCGCCTCTTGGGCCGTCTTGGGGCCCTCTTGGGCTGTCCTGGGGCCCTCTTGGAAGCTTCTTGGGCCGTCTTGGGGCGGTCTTGGGCGCCTCTTGGGCCGTCCTGTAACGTCGGAAAGCCCAAAAGGCGACTTTGTTGAAAATGTACGTTTTACGAAGGGAATGGGTCAATTTTTGCGTCTAGGGGCCCTCTTGGGACGCATGTTGGAGGCTTCTTGGGGCGTCTTGGGGGCGTCCTTGGACGTCTGGGGTCTCCTGGGGCCTCTTGAGGGGCCTCCTGGGGGCCTCCTGGCGGCCTCTTGGGGCGGAAGGCTCGAGCTTGCGGTTCGTGGTCCCCCTCTGGGCCCCCTCTTGGGCCCGTCTTGGGGCCCTCTTGGGCCATCTTGGGCGCCTCTTGGGCCGTCTTGGGGCCCTCTTGGGCTGTCCTGGGGCCCTCTTGGAAGCTTCTTGGGCCGTCTTGGGGCGGTCTTGGGCGCCTCTTGGGCCGTCCTGTAACGTCGGAAAGCCCAAAAGACAACTTTGTTGAAAATGTACGTTTTACGAAGGGAATGGGCCAATTTTTGCGTCTAGGGGCCCTCTTGGGACGCATGTTGGAGGCTTCTTGGGGCCTCTTGGGGGCGTCCTTGGACGTCTGGAGGCCATCTTCAGCATCTCGGAGCCCTCTTGGAGGCCTCTTGGAAGTTTCTTGGGCCGTCTTGGGCGCTCCTGGGGCCGTCTTGTCTGACCGGGGAGGCCTCCGGCAAGCCCCGACGAGCCTCCGGGCCCCCCGGAGCCCACATTTGCGGTCGAGGTCCCGGCCCCGGGCCCCCGGACCCGGTGCGCCGTTATATGTATACATTCATATTACACAGCATAGTTTACACCATATGGGTTACATCACGCAGCTCGCATAACCCAATTCACGCCACACATTTTACACCACAGGACTTCCATCGCAAGGATTAACCCACATAAGACGCTTTATACAACAAGCACCACCAAATTGAGACCGCATGCATTAAAACATATGGCTTGCACCACATCGGCTCCACCACCTAATTTGCACCGCATAGCGTGCATCACGCATCTTACTCTTCAAGGCCTGCACCACATATCCGCCTCCGCCACCGTGCCGCTGGGCACGGAGTGGGCGTGTCCTCGGGTCCTTTGCTCGGGAGCGGCCAAGAGGGGGGTGTCCAAGAGGGGGGGGTGCAAAGCATGTCCGGCGGCATGTGCGCGGCCCAGCGGGGGGGCCAGGGACGCAATGAAATAAGAAGAGGCGCCATGAAATCTGGGAAGATATCATGGCCCCCGCCATGACATCCCCCCCCCCCCTAGTCCCGAGCCTCACTCCTCGACCCCGAGAGTTCTTCCGGGGCCGGGCCACCGAACTCACAAATCTCCTTCGGCTCGGCGCGCGCCCTCGGGGCTCCCGCGCGTCTGCCCAGCGTGATTCTTTCGGGCCCACATGAGGGCCCCGACACGGGCCGAGAGGGCCCCAGGAGCTCCCGAAGACGGTCCAGGAGGGCCCCGCGTCGCCGAAACGATCGCTCCCAGACGCTCAAGAACGCCCCCCAGACGGCCCAAGAGGCCTCCAAGACGCCCCAAGAGGCCTCCCCAAAGGGCCCCAAGAGGCCAAATTAGTTATTTTCTTTAGGTTGTTGCAGGCTTTTGGCGTTCTCGCCTTTTAGGCTCCCCGACGCTCGCAAGCGGCCCTAGAGGACCCCCAAACCGCCCAAGGGCCTCCAAGAGGGCCCTAATACGGCCCAAGAGGATCCCCAAGACAGCACAAAAGAGCCCAAGACGGCCTACGAGGCCCCAAAGACGACTTCAAGAGGGGACCCAGATGGGGGACCCGAACGGACATTTCGAGGCCGCGGCCTCGAGAGGCACCCAGGAGACCACAAGAGGCCCCCAAGAGGCTCCCAAGAGGCCGCAAACTGCCTTAACAGGTAGCAAAACCACCGAGAGCGCTTCGAAGAGACCCCAAGGCGCATCCCTGAGAACTCTGACCCACAACCCAGGCAAGGTGGCGGGATGGGCCGAAGGCCGATAGATATTGCACGATATAACTTCCACACCCACAGTGCAATGACTCAACATGCTGTGCCTTACACTTGCAGACATATCATGATCCGTTTAGGATGCGCCCATGGATGTTCATTGATGTTGGCACTTGTATCGGATGGGTCGGGTACATCACTGGATAATCATCCATAAGACCGCGACTACTGCTACTCTTACTAATCACTACCAATGTGTGCGATGAAAGTGGCAATCCCTCATTGATTCGCCGGACCGCAACCGCTTCTCCAGAAACTCATGCGACCACTCAATGAAAGGAATTGCCTTGATCCGGAATTCTTGAAAGGGGCTCCACGACAACAGCATGGGTGCGCCCTGTTTGTCGCAACCAGAATAGGCTGATCACAAGTGGTTGTGATCGGTCCATTGTGGTTGCGATCGGTCCCTTGTGGTTGCGGTCTGTCGTGCTCTCGGGGGGGAGGGGGGAGAAGGGGGGGGGAGGGGAGGGGAAGAGGAGAGTCTTAGGGAGTTCTCGGGGTTCCTTCCTCTTTCGGATGGAAAGGTTCCCTGGTCTCACTCATCGTCACACCCGCCGACCGCCGTCGTCCCCCTGGTCTCCCGTCTTTTTCCACTCCCCTCCGGCTTGAACTCGTTGCCATCCTTCCCCACACGCGCCTTCCCTCCTCCTTATTCTCTCCGTCATCCTCCAGTCATCCCTCCCTCTAGCTTGTCCTCCTCCTCCTCCTGCTCTCTGGGGTGTTCGTTCTCCTCGTTTCCGTCCCACTCCTCGTCCTCCTTTTCCTTCTCCTTCTCCTCCGTCTGCTCCCCCTCCTCCCTCCCCGCAATGCTTCCGCGGGGGTTGGGGTTCGGACCCACCCCCCCGCAAGCGGCAACGGGGATGAAGCATTAGAGCCGCTATGGATACGTACGCGCCGCAAGTAGCGGCGTGCTGCCCCGACGCGGGGCATGCCCCAGTCGTGCCCTCATATGCGGTGCGCGCTGAGTGGTCCACAATTCGAGGGAGCCGTGGATCGGCGGCAGTTCCCACCCCCCAACATCCTCCCCCGCAGTCGTCGAGCGACGGGCAAGGGAGTGGCGGGCTTCTCCCCCGCAGGCGCGCAGGGCGAGACGGCGGCTGCGGGTGAAGCAACAAGTTGCACTTCGCGCACCTACTGACAACGGAGGATGACTCCAGGTGCTCTACACGATAATTCGTTGACCTGGTCTCTTTAAACCCATGGCTGTTTGACCCGCGGCTGTTTGACCCAATGGCGGTTTCACCAACGACGGTTTGATCTCGTGCCTCCTCGACCTGAGTTGTTTGACCAGGTGGAAGCGAGCCCCAAGATGGACTTACAAAGCCCGAATATGGTTGACATACGGTCCAGACAAGCCCCCAAGATTGGGCCCGAAGGCGCCGGACGGTCCGCGAGCACCCAGAGGCGGACCAAGGTGGCCCAAGACAGCCCTAAGAGGCCCCCAAGAAGGCACCGAAAAGAGCCCCAAGATGGCCGTAGAATGCCCCTCCACATGTTTCCCCCAGCGGTTTATCCAAGCGCTGGGGGAACCCGTAGTCCACTAGCAGCTAGCATGGTTAGCCCATCGCTCGACATGTCGGCAGTGACTTGCAGTAGGCGCCTTCAATAAAGAGTGGGTAGAGAGGGCGGAGGGCAGATACGAAGTGTACAAGGGGGCACCAAGTAGGAGGTCGAGAGTATATGATGGAGGAAATTACCAAAACTGGAACGCTGAGAGTAGAGAAAGCATACAACCACATTCTTCATCATTTGCACCACCAGAAGCGCGCTGTCTTTACACATTATGCACGCGCGGTGCAATCACTTGGGCTTTTTGTTGTGCAACCTGCATCCTGCATCACACATACACACGAATACTTTGCACTCCATGAAGTTCAGCATTGCGTGAATCCCAGCTAACTTCACTGTGCTCCCTGACTATCTTCCAGACCAACCCAACCCAACCCGAAGACCAGAATTTCGGGTTGGGGGAGGATGCGGATTCTGTGTTTTACCCATGTTCCCCGACCCTCCCCCATTGGAAATAGAGGGCACATTGAGGCTTTCGGGTTGGGTTTGGGTGGTTTGGTGGGTGGTTTCTTCCTCCGTCTCCTAATTAGTCGTGTCTGGACTCCTCTAAGCGGTGCAGAAATCCTGCGGCTTCACTCCGATACGGCCAAAACAAATTATCAAGGAAACCCGAACCAGATCGAAACATGGTACGTGTTTCGCGCATGACGTGGGTACATCAACATCGAGCAGCCAATGCCACACAACCAGTCTGCGCGACTGCCAGCCGGGGACACTCCGTCCAGCAGCGCGTGGACACGTCGTAACACTCCACGGCATTTGTGGCCTGGCCAGCCCGGCACCGCCCGCCAATGACATACACGCGGCCTCTCGAGGTGGCTGCCGGACAGACTGCACGCGCAGTTGGCATCGGTGGCAACACCTCCCACCGGTCGCTTCTTGGGTCGAAGCAGCTTGCAGTAGGAAGAGGCTGAGTCGAACCCCAGCCTCCAAAGACGAAGATCCTTCCTCAGAAGAAGAACAAACGCTATAAACATAAACTTTTGGCGCTCCGCGCGGATTTCTTGGATGTGGGCGGCGCCAGAGGCGCCGCCGGGGGGGCCCAGGCGCGGATCCAAGAAATCCGCGCGGAGCGCCAACAATTTATGTTTATATGTTTTTGTTCTTCTTCGATTCCTCTGCATGCCGCTACTGCGCAGGACGCGATTGGCGATGGCAGCGGAGGGGACCGGGCCCAGGACTCTGCCCCAGGGTCCAGCCTCTCGACGTCGGCCAGGTGCCGCCCGCTCTCGTGGCCCGCTGAAAGTCCCAAGCACATCCCGACGGGTGATCTCGGGCCAGCCCCCCAGGGTGGGGGGGTCCCAGGGGGGAGTCCTTTTCCTCCTCCTTCTCCCCCTCCTCCTCCTCCTCCTCCTCCTCCTCCTCCTCATCTCCGCCTCTTCCTCCTCCTCCTCCTCCTCCTCCTCCTCCTCCTCCTCCTCCTCCTCCTCCCCCTCCTGGTCGTCGTCGATGTCTTTCAGGGTCGGCGGCACCGGCCCGCAATCACAGGCACATCCCGACGGGTGATCTCGGGCTGCCCCCCCCACACCCCCCAGGGGGACAGCCACTACCGCGCAAGGCGGCGCCACGCACAAGCGAGCCCACAACTTTGTCCGAATGGACCAACCAAAACAATCAGACACACGATCCCTCGCAATGAAGGGCTGTATTGAAGTGTGGTCTTACCTCGTTGCGTCTTTTATCTCATGTGCCCTGACTGACCTCGAATTGCGTGGTCTTTCTTTCCGCCGTTTGCTGGGGGGGGGAAGCGGCGGCGGCGGAAGCGGAGGCGAGGGGGAGGTGCGATGAAGAGGTACTCTTCTTCTCTGTTTAGTTTTTACACAACCCGCGCCCCTAAGGCTCAGATCCATCTGCCACCACGTCTGAAGCTTATGGGACGGGGGTAGTCTCAGTTGAATAACAACGTTCAATCGTCTAACTGAACATATCCATGCCATCCCTAACTCTCATGCCTGCCAGCCATTCATGACATTCGTCCCCGCTCCCCCTTGTTTCCCAACCATCATTTGGTGTTGGGTCGTCGTTTTGAAAAGACAGGGCCCAGCGTTCCTCTCCTCCTCTTCCTCCTCCTCCTCCCTCCTCCAATCCCTGCCTCTGCCCTCCGCACCAGTCAACCATGTCGGTACACCCCTCACACGTTTCGTGGCCTCATAGGGAGCTCTACCAAAGGCCCCAGTGGCGGCGTTCGCATGCGTCCCCGCACCAGTTCGGGACACCCCACACGTTTCGTGGCCCCACAGGGGGCGCCACCGAGAAGGCCCTGGTGGCGGTGTGCGCATGCGTCCCCGCCACCCATTTCGGCACCCCCCTCACACGCTTCGTGACCCCATAGGGAGCTCCACCGACGGCCCCAATGGCTGCGTCCGCATGCTTCCACCGCCACCCATTTTGGCACACCCATCACACGCATCGTGGCCCCATAGGGAGCTCCACCGACGGCCCCAGGGGCTGCGTTCGCACGCGCCCACACCACCCATTTTGGCACACCACTCACACGTTTAGCAGTCCCATAGGGGGCTTGACGGCCCCAGTGGCTGTGCTCGCATGCCGCCACCGAACCGATTCTGGCACACGCCTCACACGCTTCGTGGCCCCATGTGGCCCCATAGGTAGCTCCATCGACCGCCCCAATTGTTGCGTTCGCATGCGCCCACCACACCCATGTCGGCACACGCCTCACGCGTTTCGTGGCCCATAGGGGGCTACACCAACGGCTCCAGTGGATGCGCTCGCATGCGCCCACCGAACCCATTTCGGCACACCCATCACACGTTCCGTGGCCCTATAGGGAGCTCCTCGGAATGCGGTGCATACAGCGATGGTGTTCGTGGCTGCATATTGCAGATGGTCGGGCCCTTCGCCAGGCTAGTGGGCAAATGCCACAGGGCTAATTTCGGGCCAAGCAGGACCTCGGGGGGCCTCAGCATGTTGCTCTGGCTCACTTGCCCCATGTCGCTTGGTACGGTTGATTCCTGCAAGCGACGACGTGGGCACTGGCATCTTTTGCGGCCATGCGTGAACCGGTCACCACTGGACGATCTCCGCTCCTAGGCTCGACCCCATCCTTCGTACGGACTTCGCGCCGTTGGTCGCCCTCTCTGGGTCCTGGGTCTGGCATTGCCGCCGCGTCGGGGCGGCGCCGACACGCCATCGCACGGACGTCCACTCCCCGTGCATTCGTCGGTTCCGTGCGTGCTCGTTCTTGACTACCTACCAGACCACCCCAACCCAACCCGGGGGGGGTACGCGCTTCATGTGCGTTTTTCGATGTTGCCCGAGCCCCCCCCCACCCACTGGAGGTGGGAGGCAAATCGGGACCGTCGGGTTGGGTCGGGGTGGTTTCGTGGGCGGTGAGTCCTCTTCGCGAGATAGGAGGAGGAAGAGGAGGCGGAAGAGGAGGCGGAGGAGGAGGCGGAGGAGGAGGCGGAGATGGAGGAGGAGGAGGAGATGGAGGAGATCCAGGACGCTCCTCGAGGGTCCAGCTGCTCTGGCGCTGGCCTCGCCGAGAGCGACATGCCCACGCCCGAGCGATGCCAGGCCGACCGCTCGCATTGACCCCCGTCTCGAGGCTCCCGACCCGGAGAGCCGATGGCGTGCATTTTCCAATGCGCCCCCCCCCCCCCCCCCCTCGATGTCTCGACCCACTCCCCAGGACCGGCTGTCCGTCTCGAGTCGTTTCTGGACGGTCCCGCGGCCCGGCGGGGGCGTCTGGAGGCAAAGAACGGCGAAACATTTCCGCCGTGATGTTGCCTCCATTTCCACTGGACTTTCAGCCGGCCAGGTCTTGCTCAGGCCCCCGATGACGAACAGCCTGCCGCCCACGGCCACGCCGCCGCAGCCCGAGCGCGGCCTCGCCAGGCGGGGCAGCGGCCTCCACCGCCCCTCGCGCGGCTCGAAGCCCTCGACCAGGTCCACCTCGTTCGCTGCTTCTGACGAGGAGGAGGAGGAGGAGGAGGAGGAGGAGGAGGAGGAGGAGGAGGAGGAGGAGGAGGAGGAGTAGGAGGGAGGAGGAGGAGAAGGAGGAGGAGGCTAAGGAGGAGGAGGAGGGAGGAGGAGGAGGAGGAGGAGGAGGAGGAGGAGGAGGAGGAGGAGGAGGAGGAGGACGACGAGGAGCTTGAAACAAGAGAATCGGCGGCAACGGAGGCGGACATCCCCGCGACGAGGCAGCGTGAAACCTCGTCCAGGTTCACCCGTCGAGAGCACGGTGCGTGCTCTGTGCCACCCGCCCTTCGCGCTCCACGCCGCGCTGAGGTGAGGACACCTTCGCGCCCTCGAGCGGCCCCCCGAAAACAGACAGCTCTCCAGACCAGACCGCGAAGCGCGAAGCTCGAATTGCTTTGCGCCACCTTGACTGATCCACGTGCGCAGGTCCTCCATTGCGCGGTGCGTGCGTCAGCCTGCTCCAACCCTCGTTCCGCTGCTGCCTGCCCCTCCCCTTCTGCCGCTCCTCCCTTTGCCCCCAGCCCCTCCTCTGTCGACTCCCTTCCCCAGGGGGGTCGCAGTGAGGAGGACTATGCAGGACTATGCATGACGGGCGACAACGACAGTCGACGCCTATTATAATCAGGACCCCGCTGGATGGCGCTCGTGATCTTTTCTCGGCCTCCCGAAGGGCGTCGCATCACTTTGCCATTTACGCCACCAGCGGGGCCCTCGAAACTGTGCAAAACCAGACGAGTTAGTAAGCGAATTGTGAGATCTCTGCATCACGGACGTGCTGCGGGGGCCCCCCCCCACGTGCGGGTACAAACCTCGGGCGATCCTCGCGAGATTTTGCGCACCCTTGGGGGAGGCCCTGCATCTTTCCACCAACCACCTTGGGTCGGACGTGGCGGTCTTGCCACACACTGTGCAAAACGTTAAACCAAAACGGCCCCAGAAGGAAAGCTTGTGGCTCGCGCGCAGCAACTTCCCCGCGACAGTCTGTGGGCCGTGGAGCGGTGAGATGCCCTGGCCACGGGGCTTGGGGCAACACCTCGAGAGGCTCCCAGAGCGGATGGACTCCCTGGTCTCGAACTGGGAGCAAACCAAACAGAAAAACTTAGAACCCACCTGCCGCCACTGATGCTCGCTGGCACGAAGACTCCTGGTCAGGATGGGAAGCCGCCGGACCCCTGGGGCCTCGGGTCGAGACGCGGCCCACGGATCGGCCAGGATGCTCGCAACCAGAGCTCTCCGAGCTCGACGTCTGACCAGGGCAGCCTCGGCATCGCGGCGGTCGGTGTCGGGATTCGCGAGGCCGCAACGCCTGCTCGCTTGGGCGCCTAGGCCCGCGAGTGCGTCGGCACACGCGTTGCCAACAGCATATCGAAACGCTTCCTCGGAATTGGCATCCCTAGCCTCGACATGGGCAGGGATCCAAATCACACGAATTACTCTGTCTCCTGCTGCCTCCAGGATCCTGGTCCAAAGGTCGAGGTTCGCAGGAGGGGTCGAGGAAGCGAGGGGGAGCGGGACTCCTTTGGACCAGGCCTGGGCCAGGGCCAGGTGGTCCGTCATATATCGGATGTTCCCTGGGATCTGTTCTAGGGCGGCGAGACAGGCAGAGAGCTCGGCCCTCGGGACCGTCTGGACCCTCCCACCAAGGGAAGACGAAAAACCGAAAATCGGGTCCAGGCTGCCAGGGGAAAGGGAAACAAATCCGAAACCAGCGCGTCTGCGACGCCAGTCACTGCTATGCTCACCGCCCGACCCATCTCCAAAAATCTCAGCGAACCCCTCCTCATCACGTGGGATTGTCGACCGATCCCCGAAACTGTTCGTGATGGGCGGGGTCTCGTCGAAGACTGGTATGGCGTCGGCAGCCGCAGGGACGCCTCGAAGCCAGAGGGACGGAGAGGCCTCGTAGTTGGCGAACGCCTGTGCGGTGAGGAATTCGCTGTCCGTGTAGTCGTCGTGGTTGCAGTTGGCCGCACATGTCCATATTCTGTGGAAAAGCGACTCATCCTGTTCTCCACACCTCGGGCATGTGGGGGATACCTCGTATCCTGCGGCCAACATTCGCGTACGTGTCCACTGGCCACCTGTCGTGACCACCGTGTTGAGTGCGATCTCGCTATACTGCTCCCTCCTGGCGAGTCGGCGGTTCTCCTGCTTGGTCGTGCTGAAGTCGCCTCCACTGTGTAGGTCATCACCTGCTTCGTGCGAAGCCCGAGTCCAGAGAACTCTGTCCACTGAGCTGTTGATGTCGTTGAAGATCTCCGAGTAGTCCGCATTCAACTTCTTGAAGTCCTCGTCTTCTCTTGCAGGAATGAGCCAGCTCTTACCTGCGTCCGTGTCCCACTGGGTCGCCGCGATCGGGTCCCAGTTGATCTCGAGGAGGGTGGCAATAGTTGCCCCCACTGGGCCACGGACGATCCTCCACTTGCGTTGGCCAGCCTTTCGTATGCGGTCGAGGATCTTGTCCCAGGATTGCCGAATCCTGTCGTGGATGCCTGGGCACTGGCGCCACATGGCCGCCACATGGTCAGCCACGCTGCGATCTGCTGACGCCTGATGCGCCTGGCAGGGTCGTCGTCCCCGTACTCGATGGCCAGCGCCGACGTCAAGCATCTTCCTGGTCCCACGCCAGACGCGGCAGCAACAGCTTGGCGTCGGAGGCGCAGCACTTCATATTCAGGGAGCCCGCGATGCTGATGTGAGTAAGTCCCAGACGGCATGGCACCAGTACTCCAAAGACCTTGCGATTCTCTCTTTAATCGGGCGATTCTCCTGATTCTGTGAATGGCTGCCGGCCGTCTGCTAGCCTTCGTCATTCTCCTTCGTGCTGTGGCCCTGGCGCGAGCCCGTCCTGAAGCGACGTCGGCCCCCAAGTCTGTGGCGGCCTGTGCTGAGGTTGCCCGAATGCCCTTTCTCCGAAGTGATCGGGCCACTTTGTTGGCGATGCTGCTCGTGCTGGCGACAACGACCGTCTTGGGGCTGATCGTGAGGCCCTCGCGTTGCATGTCGTGGCCGATGGAGGCGCCAGCTTGGACCAATGTGGTCTCGACGTTGTAGGCCGTGCCCTCGCTGCGAATGATCGTGTCGTCCACGAATGTCTTCATCGCGATGTTGAACTGGTACTTGTCATGGGCCCGCTGGAGGATAGGGCCCAATAATACCTTTGCTAATTTGCCGCCGTGTGGAGAACCTGCCACCAGTGACTTCTCGATCTTGATCGGCCTGCTGATCCACTGGCGCTCCTTGAGGTACCTGGGGGCAAGAAATATCTGTAGTTCCATCGCAAGGATGACTGCGGGGAAGCCCTGCCTGAGTCCAGCTTGACAGAGCTTTGCGATGGAGATGCTGTCGTAGAACTTCTCCAGATCTAGAAGGATTGTCGCACAACTGATGCCCATGGTGAAGCAGCACTCATCCATACAGGCTCTCGCCAGCGAGGCTTGCAGCGGGCTGCTCCCTTTGATGGCCGTGTCCCAGAATTCGCCCAGCTTGTCACTCCACCTCTCACTCAACGGGTAGCGGAGCTTGGACCAAACCTTCACCGTGTAAGGAAGCAATCCCAGGATCCTGTCGCCCCCCTTGGGCTTGGGGGCGACCGCGCCTATGACCGTGAATATCTGATGGGGCCACCTGAGGTGGTTCTCGCAAAGATTGAGGACCTCCACCATCTGCCTACGTCCTGGCTCTGGGAGTCGTTGCACCTCCAGCGGGCCGAGGTTGTCGATTCCTCTGGCCTTCTTCGGGTTCTGCTTCGCCAGCAGGTGGTCCAGGTGCTCCAGCTCGATCGGGTGCACGTCCTCCCTCTTGGCTTGCTCCGCGACATACTTGAGGCCGTCGAGGATACTCTTGTGGCCGGAGCTGGGGTCGGACCAGATGTTCTCCCAGAAGTCAGCTCTGCGATCCATGATCTCGCACGGTGTGGCATAGGTGCTGCCCTCGTCACTGAAGTGCTCGTCTCGTCGAGTAGTGGCTGGCTTCACATGTCGGTGTAACGCACCTGGAGCCTGCTTCCACATGCGTGTGGCCCAGCTTGCAAAAGCCCGCCTGCCGTTGGCGAGTCCAGTACCCACCGCGCGGGCTTGAAACCTCAGGCCGATCTCCAGTAGGGCCTGCAGCGAGTCGATGTTCTGTCCGTCTAAGTCGGTGATGGCCTTGGTCCACTCCTCCAGGGTCCTCTTGTCCTCTGGGTCGTTGTACTTGTCGAGGAAGTTGTTCTCGGTGGCAATGTGTAGCAGCTCCTGCATGTTTATTGCCATGCGCTTGTAGTCCTGCTCTGCGAACTTGCGCCTCATTAGCTGATATCTGGATATGATCGTCGTTGCCAGATGCCACCATTCCACGATTGGGTCCCGCATGTGTGCACGGGCTGGTGTGGCACGGGTTCTTCGCCAAGTGATCCCATGCTCTCTGGCTCTGCCTTCATACTTTTTCCAATCGGACTCGGGAATGTTGTGGTGCTTGAGCGTGGACTTCTCCACTGTCTGCACCCAGTCGCCGAACGCCCTGGCAACCTTCTTCTGCGCCTCATCGTCACGGGTCAGCAGGAAGTGGGAGGAGGGGTAGTTGTCCTGGTCGTCGTTCGACTCCTTCCTCACGCGTTTGCCCTTGTCCTCTCCCAGTCCTGCCACCGTAGCGGCTGCCGAGTGCCACGCCTCAATCGGTATGTCGAAGGTGACCGAGTCGTTGATGTGTGTGTCCTGCGTGGTCGGCCAGTTGTGGGGCTCCTCGTATGCGTCCTGTAGCTCCTCCTGGAGTCTGGCCTTTGCCCGCTGGCGCCGCTCGGCTAGCAACTTCTGGCGCTTGCTGTTCGGGTCCGCTTTCTTGGCTGGTCGTCCCGCCGACGGGAGCTGCTTGGGTATACACATAGCTCAATGCCACCAGTGCTGCTTCCCCGCACGCATGGAAAGCAGTAATCCCACGTGGGTCTTCCAGGGGACCTCAGGGACTGCTTCGAGCTTGAGGGAGCCGCCGAACCCGCTCTTGCAGATCCCGTAGTCAATGAGGGACCCGCGCCCCAAGTTGCAGGTGGTCTTCGTGTTCTCAGGGAGGATAAGATGGCCGCCGATCTTGCGCAACCACTTGGTTCCTTCCCATGCCTCTGGTGGGTTGTTCCAGTCGGCAAGGACAACCCACGGGTCGGATATCATATTGATGAAGCTGGCTAGCCTGATCATCATCTTCTCGTTGGGGCCCTTGAAGCCGTGCTTCGGCTGCATGTACGCGGAGATGACGACGATGTTGCCAGCCTTCGCGCGCCACGTCGTGGGGCAAAATCCTTGGAAGGGGTCGACTGCAGACCGTTCGATCTCGTGCTTGCGCCACCCCTCGAACGTCGCGGTGGCCAGCGAACGCTTGGATATGATGGCTTCGCCGCCCGTCGTGCCTTCAGCTGCTCTGCCCGACGGTGCTGCGGCGGTGACGGCGGCCTTCCATCCGTCTTTGCTGATCTTCTCTGTGAAGTCCAGGACCTTTACGCCTCGCAGGTGCATCTCCGCGAATCCTATGACATCGTACTGCTCCGCCTGGGCTTTCATGAATCCCTCCGCCTGCGGGCCCCACTCCGAGATGTTCGAGAAGAAGTACGTCGCATCGTAGTTCTCTGGAACGGGGGCACGAATGCAGGAGAGGCCGTGTGGTGGGAGGGGCGGCTGAAGGGTGTCACCTGGCCTCGGGTGGCCTCCTCCTCCCAGGCCGATGGGTAGGTCACCCTCGCTGCGCGGCCGCAGCTGCAGCTCTGGGCGCGCCGTCGCGAGAGCTCCTAGCACCATTGCCAGTGCCCAGGGGAGGGAAGTCGCCCATGCTGGCCAGCGTGGCCTCCCTGGCGCTCGCGATCTTGGCGGCGATGCCGCTCTCTGAGACTGCGATGGTGGGGCCGTCCTCCGCAGCAGGTGCCTGGTCTTCGTCAGGGCCTCCAGCTTCTGCTGCGCCAGGACCAGGGACGGGACCGTCCTGACCACGCTGCCGTTTCGCAGGGGCAGCTCGGATCTCCTTGACGCTCTTGAGCGCCTCCTGCATGGTCTTCTGGAGGTCCTCCACCTTCTTGCAGTGCTCCTCCACCTGCTTCTGGATGGCCTTGAGCTGGGCCTTCTGCGCGTCGTCGAACTCGTCGCTGGTAGCGAAGTCGAACTCATCCATCGCGAGGTATATCTTCTTGCCGTCCGCGGTGTAGCCGTCCTGCGTCTTGGCGGCGCCCGTGGAGTCGGCGAGGGCCTTGACCGCCAGCGTGTGGGCCCGCTTCGCGGAGAGGGCCTCCTCCGCCGTCTGGTGGAGCCACAGCTTGGCCTCCTGGAGTGCCGTCTCCAGCTTGATGACGTCTGCAGAGGCCTTCTGAAGAACCATCTCCTTCTTCTCCAGGGTCTGGCTGCAGCGGTAGACCTCCTGGTTGGGCGATACCGGCTTTGCCTTGCTCGCCTTGAAGGAGTTGTCAGCCTGGCGGAACACGTCGGCGTGCTCAGCAAGGGCGGGGACATTCGAGAGGATGCTGAGCATCTGCGAGATGTCAGGCTTCTTGGACCACGGGTGCGTGCCTTTGCCACTGCCGAAGTGCCACGCCGACGTGTCCTCGCCCTTGCCGCCCTTGTAACTGTGGATGCCTTTCTTACCTTTGCCGTTGCCTTTCGCCGCTGCAGCGTCAGGCTTGAAGAGTGTGACCTGCCCCCCGCACTTGCCACAGAAACCGCCGTTGTGCAGCAGGCGGAAGTTGTACGTCCAGTTGCCGCAGGTACACCAAGAGAATGGGCGCGGCGCCATGACTGATTGACAGGTCGAAAGGGAGCTCTAACCCCAACTGCGCTGGCAGCTGGGCGGTGCGATTCTCCCAAAATCACCGAGTACACAGTGCTGCTCTGGCAGCTCAGATTTTGGCACGGAGGCGCGGAGCCCCCGAGTGCGGGCATCTTGAGCCAAAATGGCTACGGAGTGGTCGCAGTGAGGAGGAGGAGGAGGAGGAGGAGGAGGAGGAGGAGGAGGAGGGAGGAGGAGGAGAAGAAGGAGGAGGAGGAGAGGGAGGAGGAGAGGGAGGAGAGGGAGGAGGAGGAGGAGGAGGAGGAGGAGGAGGCTCAGGTACAGCTCTTCCAAAACCTATGACTGCTTCAATCCGCGAGATGCTGAGGCTCTCAGCGCCATCCTTCGCGCGGATTGTGGGCTGGGCCTCGGCGACCCCGAGGCCCCCAAACTGGGCCTCCAGCAATGCGCCCTCAGGGAAACACAAACAACACATTATGTCCCGATGTTCCAGGACGTCAGCGGGCTAGTTCTTTGTCAGAGATGGGCAACTACCCACCAACACCGCTGGCTAGGCCTGGACTGTGCATGTGCCCTCCAGGCACAGGTCTTCCTCCTACCCCTCCTCCTCCTCCTCCTCCTCCTCCTCCTCCTCCTCCTCCTCCTCAGCCTTCTCCTCCTTACTTCTCAAGATCGGCCTCTGGACCTCTCCCGCAGCGCGTCGTGACCAGGATCCAATGATCTCCTCCTGGCCTCCATGCCTCCTTGCCTCATTGCCACCTCGCCACCTCCTTGCCTCCTTGCCTCCTCGCCTCCTTGCCACCTCGCATCCTTGCCCCCCTGCCTCCTTGCCTCCTTGCCTCCTCCTCCTCCCCCTCCCCCCACGAGCAGTTCTTCAGGCCCGCTGCCTGGAGGCCGTCCGCGCCGAGCCCCGCCATGACGCAGACCGCGCCCTCGGTGCATGCGGCGGCCCCCAGGGCGCGCCTTGTCGGCATGGGCGGCACGCGGGGGGTCCCTGGAAGAGGCAGCACGCCTCCCAGAAGAGAGGGAGGAGGAGGAGGGGGAGGAGGAGGGGGAGGAGGAGGAGGAGGAGGAGGGGGAGGAGGAGGAGGAGGAGGAGGAGGAGGAGGAGGAGGAGGAGGAGGAGGAGGAGGAGGAGGAGGAGGAGAGGAGGAGGAGGGGGAGGAGGGGAAAGGATGGTGGCAAGCTGGGTGCGCTAGTGCCAGATCTGCCATCCCAGCAGGAGGATGAGCAGGCAAGAAAGAGGATGACAATGGAGGACGAGGGCGAAAAGCAGGGAATTGGAGTGGAAGGAGTGGGAGGAACAGGAGGATCAGGGAAGGCGGACGGGGGGAAATAAGGGGGGCGACAAAGATGAAAAGGACTCGGATCAAGAGAAGTGGCCCGCGCTGGGGCAAGCGCGCCATTCTGAACGACGGGAGCACAGCACCGATCCGAAAATGATGCCCACGCTGCAGCGGGAACACCATCTTGAAAAACCAATATCATAATAAAAAACACATAGGAAATATCCACCGGCCCTTCGGCGGCGTGTGGGAGACCCTGTCGTCGTCGTCGTCGTCTTCGTCGTCGTCCTCATCGTCGTCGTCGCCAGTCCCAACAAAACGGAAGAACGAAGAGAAAAAATAACCGTCCTAGTGAAGTAAATTTCCTTCCCTTTTTCCCTTTCCTGACGGGGGGGTAGGGGCAGAGGTAGGGGTAGGGATAGCGGGAGGGGGGGGGTGTACAGTGGGGGGTGCCGGGTCAGATTACCGCCCCCCTGGAGGCGCCGCCGGGGGGGCCCAGGCGCCGATCCAAGAAGTCCGCGTGGAGCGCCACAAGTTTATGTTTATGGCGCTTTTTCTCTTTCGACGAAGAGGATGCACGGGGGCGGTGGAGGATGGAGCACGGAGGCGGGGAGGAAGGGATGACGGTGTGCCGTGCCAGTCCAGGAGAAGTGCCAGGCGGCGAGGGCCGACACCAGCTGCACGCAGCAGCCCTCGTGCCCAGAGCCCACCCGTTCTGCGATGCGGGGAACCGACGGCAGACAAGCGCGTTTCACTACTCGCAAAGTAACTACTCGCAAATGGCCTGTATCCGCCATGGGGGATTTACGATACATTGCATCGGTGTAGACACGTGTTTTTCGAACGTTTGCGAGTAGGCACTTTGCGAGTAGTGGAACGCGCTCGGCTCGGTAAGACGGGGGGGACTGACTCAGTGGGAGACCATTGGTCTGGAATCGCCGATCAATCGGTGATGGGCCCTCGATAGCGAAACCGAACGTTCCTGGGCGGGGTGCCCACCCAAGCTCCGTTTGGCGATGACTGGGCTGTCTGTGGTCGATGCTTCCCCGCCAGGGTCAGTCCTTTCCCCTCTCGGTGCCCCCGGCCTTTTCCCGGATCCATCCCTTAGAGGCCTTCTAAATGGGGTTGGAGTAGATGGGGTCGGAGGATGGGGCCGCATCGCCGATACATCGGCGACGCATCGGCGATGTATCGTCGACGTGGGCGATGCATCGGCGACGTCGACGTGAAGCAAATCGAGCTCCACATCGAGCCGCATCGGCGATGCATCGGCGATGCAGCGCGATCCTCCGACCCCATCTACTCCGTGCCCATCTGGGAGGCCTAGAGCCTAGATCCCTTAGGACCCCCCGAATGGGAGACCACGTGCCCCGCGCCACGTCGAAGACCTCGTCGCCGAGCAGCAGCGACCCGCCGTCGGCCCAGCCGCCCATGAGGTACACCCTTCCCGGGCGCGGCCGGGACTTCTGCCGGCATCCCTCCCTCTTCCTCCCCGCTGGCTTCTTATAGAGGGCCACATGCGAACCCTACCCCACCCTGCCCCTCAGAAATCGTGTGGCGTAGGGGTAGGGTTCGCAAGTGGTGCTCTGCCTTCCGCCCCGGCCAGGGAATAACAAGGCTGGACCCAAACACCATGTTTTTGTTTTGTTTTGTTTTGTATGTTGGTCGCTTTGCTCTACCTGCTTTCCTGTAATTACCTCCCTGCCAAGAGGAAAAACAAAGCACAGCCGAAATCCAAGAAAACAGCATTTAGGTCCAGCCCTGGCGAAGAAGATCGGCCGAGGACGGGCCGAGGGCAAGAGGGGCCCCTGGGCATCCGACGCACCGCTTTCTTCCGTGTGCGGCCCCCCGAAGTCCCGACCCCCTCTGGAGAGATCCTCCCTTCCAGGACGACTCCCTGCTGTGACCCCACCTCTCGGCTTGGAGATCGGAAAGGGACGCGGCACAAAGGGGTGTGGTGCCAATCGTGGAAACGGCAATGCTATCGACGATAGCTAACATCGCCTGATTCAGCAAAGGCACCACACCCCTTCACACTCCACCCCCGACGTCCCGAGGAGGAGGAGGAGGAGGAAGAGGAGGAGGAGGAGGAGGAGGAGGAAGAGGAGGAGTAGGGGGGGAAGGAGGAGGAGGAGGAGGAGGAGGAGGAGGAGGAGGAGGAGGAGGAGGAGGAGAAGGAGGAGGAGGAGGAGGAGAAGGAGGAGGAGGAGGAGGGAGGAGGAGGAGGAGGAGGAGGAGGAGGAGGAGGAGGAGGAGGTCCTCCCTTCCAGGACGATCCTCCCTGCTGCGACCCCACCCCTCAGGAGGACGCCAATCGCACGCGCACGCCGCTCCTGGCCGGGCCCATCGTGGGCACAGGACGGGTGTGGACGCCTTCCCCTGGGGGACCCACAGCATACACCCCACCGCCACGTCGATTCCTCCTCTCTCCTCGGCCCTCCTCTTCCTCTCCTCGTTCCTGGGAGAGGGAGGGGGTGAGGGAGGTGGTTGTGGTGTATATTTTGTGGGCCCCCCTCCCTGGCCTGGGCAGGAAGGCGCCCACCTGCGATCCTCGGCACCTTCCGACCCCTCGCCTCCTCGGCCTGTGCTTTGGAGACGAGGGCAAGCTGCGCACAACAAAGATCGGGTCGGGTGCGGATAGCTCGGGGATCACCGAGGGCCACCGGGTCCAGAGGACGTATCGGGCGCAATGACCGTTCCAGAGCGCTCTGTAACACTTCGAGTGCTCGGAAACACTGTGGCAATGTATTCTGAAAACTCTGCAGCAGCGCATTCGTAATTATCACAGGCGTGCCTGATGCTGACAGATATCACATGTTTCTGGATAGGGTCGTCCTGCAAGGGGGGAGGCCCTCCCTAGCCGCCCTAGCCCGTGCAAGATGACTCCATACTCGCAACTAGCGTGGCTTGACGGTAGGGAGCCAGGCCCACTGCGACCCCAAAGTGCGGCCCGAAAATTGTAACACTTGCGGATCTTCCGCGATGATGTCTGTCACAAGCACAGCTACAGAGAGTGAAATTATCAAACATCGAGCCCCACTTTTGGGGGGCCCTGCCACCATTCCATGATAACTACCGAGCTGACCGCCACATGGAAAGCACAGCGGAACGTGAACGTTTGGTCTGTCTTGGCATGGCTCGGCTGCCACCTACCCCCTACCCCCCTGGGTTCCTGGGCTGGGCCTCTGGCCGGGGAGCGGCTTCGCAGTTTGCCGCACCAGACCTGCCGTCCAGGACGGCGGCATGGCAGTTGGCCCGCGGCGCGGCCATCCGCCCCGGGTGCTGACGGGAGCGCCCCCCGTCCGCCTCGCTGCCGGACCCATCCTCCGAATCACGCGGGTTCGCTCTGCGCGCTGTGCTTCGCGCCGAGCCAGGTCATCTTCACGCTCTTTTGCTGCTGCCCCAGGAAGAAAACCAACCCTGCGACTCAGACTGCGCGCGAATCGCGACTGCCTAAGCGCCCCTGCAGATAGCTTGGGTCTTTCCCCCACGCCCGCGCCGGCCCTGGCCAGCCCAGGCTTGCCTGGCCAGGATCGGCCCGGGGATGGCTGCAGAGCCAACGCTCCCGAGCGCTCGTCTCGCCCACGCAGACTTTTCATTAGGCCCTCTGACAATTATGTTCGCGGCAGCATCCCCCTCCCCTCCGCCTCGAACTCCTCCACCCCTGCGCGCAGCGCGAGATCGTCGCCCTCCACGCCACGCCAGAGCCTTTCTCCTCCCCCCCGCCCCTTTTAGCACCTCCGCTTCTTCCCTCCACCTCGCCCCTCCCCTCCCCTGCCATTCCAGAGCACCGCCTCGAGGGCCATGCCCTCGCCGTTGCCAGCGCCCCGAAACGCCTCCTCCTCCTCCTCCTCCTCCTCTCCTCCTCCTCCTCCTCCTCCTCCTCCTCCTCTTCCTCCTTCTCATCCTCCTCCTCCTCCTCCTCCTCCTTCCCCTCCTCTTCCTCCCCCTCCTCCTCCTCCTCCACCTCCTCTTCCTCCTCTTTTTCTTCCTCTGGCAAGAGAGTCGATACCTATACTCGGGGATAAGGCGCGAAACAGCAGGGCGGAAACGGCGGCGACGAGGACCCCCCAGACCACGAGCCACGCAGAGAGGGTAGCCCTGGACCCACGCACCCCCCCAAGAGGGGGGGCGCAGGAGAGGAAGAGAGAAGAGAAGAGGAGGAGAGCTCGCTGGGGTGAATTTGGGCGAAAGGCGCCCTAGACGACACCGGCCCACGAGGGCCGACCGCGGGCCAGGCACCCAGAGATTCGAGCCGAGACCAGCAGCCACATCCATCCAAAGGGCTCCAGCACGTCTCGGGCGCACACTGTACATCACACAGGTGAATACAGAATGCTACACGCAAGGTCGTTATGCAACAGGCGGCGCGCTCTCATGCCGCCTCACTGCTGAACGGGGTTCCCCGCTGCTCTAAGCGCTCAGTTGGCCAGGGTCCCTCCAGCTGAACGAAATTTTCCAAGTGCCAGCTTGGTGATGCACAAAAAGAAAACCAAGATCTTGAACCTCGCGAGCAAAGATGCCGAGCGCTTCCTGGATAACACGGACTGATGATATGGAAAGTTGCGGTCCTTCAGCGGCTGCGCGCCTGAAGAACTGCAGGAATGACACCGTGGCCTCGCACTGTTGCTGCTCAGCCTTCGCTTCGCACTCGTGCTTGAATAGCCCCAGAATTGCTTCGATCCTCGCATGTGGGAGAGCGCTCAGAGCCTGACTGTGCTCGGGAGTAGGGCTGAAGACAGGAACATCAGGGTGGAGAGTGCTGGACGTTCGCGCCAGAGCCGCGGACTCCTTCAGAGGCTCCGGAGTCCCAGCAGTAGAGCCTGCAGCCGAGGGTGTCGCTGAGGGAGCTCTGGAAGCGCAGGGCGTGGGCCTCCTCCCCGTGTGCCTCCTCCAAATCATTTCCTCCACCCACTCCCTGTCCCGGGTGCCACTTCCGCGAGGATCTTGAAGACCTGGAAGGGCGTGGCGAACAGGCGGGCCTCCGGCAGCAGGGCGCACGGGTGCCAGCCACACCTGAACAACAGAGGTGCCGTCGCTGTGGAGACGTCCCCGGCCCACAGCTGAAAAGGTCGGGAGTTCCTCTAGGATGGCCTTCACAATCGCCCGAATCGCGGCAGTCTGCACGGCGCCCGCCTTGGGCACAGTGGCAGGGACGACGGCAAACTTGAGCTTGGCCTCTTCTGAATCTCGGACGCGGCTGTCGGCGAAATGGACGTTCCGTCCTGAAGCGGACTGTCTAAGAACCGATTCGCAGGTGCGAGAAGAAAGCCGTCCCTCAAGCAAATGCCTTGAGCCAAAATGGCTAATTACGGAAGTCCTCCTCCTCCTCCTCCTCCTCCTCGTCCTCGTCCTCGTCCTCCTCCTTCTCCTCCTCGTCCTCCTCCTCCACTCGATCACCACTTGGGGACTTGGGGGGGGAGCGGGGGGCGCTGTGGACACCTTGGGTCAGCCAGTGGCGCCCCTGTCAGCACCCGACCTGCGGCAGAGGCTGCCAACGGCCCGCAGACACCCTAAAGATGCTGTTCAACGCAGGCCTACCTGAAAAGTGGCAGGGCCAGGGGTTGCGCACAGCCCTCAGGAGGCATGAATGCGCGACAAGTAGTCGCGAACGGCCACCGTGTGCAAATCCACGCCCTCGTGGGCTGGACTCTAGTGCGCGGTCCCGTGGATACGCGGTCACACATACGTTCTGCGCTGAACTTCCGGTGAAAACAACCCGTATCCGCAGGTCCGCGAGCGAGGCCGTCGATACGGATGTGCTTTCCTCTCACAAGGTGGTCCAGGGCGGGTGGTCCCTTTCAACGAACGCAGCCTCCAGCGCATCCCCCCGAGCTCTGAGCCCCTTGGGTTGGGGTGCTTGGACAAGCGCGTTCCACTACTCGCAACGTAGATGCTCGCAAATGGCCTGGACCCGCCGCGGGGTATTGATACACTACACAAGGGAAAGACGTGCTTGTTTCTGACGTTTGCGAGCATGCACTTTGCGAGCAGTGGAACCCGCTCGGTGTTGGACCGCCCCACGCTATCCCGCCACGTGGGTCTGCTTAAGCCAGCCGGGACTAATTCACGCCGGGGGGGGTGGCGGTCTTAGCGCTAAGTCGGGCCTGTCCCCCTACAGGGGGGTTTTGGACGAAAAATAAAAAATACCCCTCAAATACCCCAAAATGACCAACAAATGCTCAACAAATCGTCCCCGCACTATTTGTTGACAATTTGTAACTATTCCCCCTGTAAAGGGACAGGCCCGACTTACGCGTGGCCCGAGGCCCTGCCACGGAGAAGACGAGCAGGTCGGGCGGGGCGAGCCCCGCGGCCAGGTGGGGCAGCGCAGCCTCCGTGGCGCAGCGGTGCGCCCGCGAGGCCACGCCCAGCAAGCGGAGCGCGCGCAGTCCGGCGAGAGGGCCCACAGCGACGCTCAGCTCCGCTTAAGTCGGGCGTGTGCCCTCGACAGGGGGATCTTGAACGCAAAGTGAAACAATACCCCAAACATGCCCCAAACTGGCCTGGCAATGCTCCAAAAATAGTCCCCAGGCTAGTTTTGGACCATGTTTGAATACTCCTCCTGTAGAGGGACGGGCCCGACTTAAAGCTCCGCGTGCCCCAGGGCCTCGCCGAGGTCGGGCGCCGCGTGCATGGCGGCGCGTCATGGTCGTCCCGCCTGCAGCAGCAAAGGCAGGGCCCCCGTGACCGACGCTGCGCTCGGAAGGCTCGCGCAAACGCTGCGGACCAAAGCGGCTGCAGAGCAGCAATCGCAACCGCGAGGGGGGTACCGCGGCCTCTCTACTGAAGCCGCTGGGAACCCAACGACCGAAACCATCCCAGGATAACTCAGGAGGATTTTGAGGTTTGTCTGTGGGGCCAATGCCGCGGAGGTGACGGGACGGACAGGAGGCGATGGAGTTGGAGGGCGATGGGGGTGGACCAGAGGAAGAGGAAGAGGTAGGAGCTGGAGGTGCACACGTGAACGAGGGTATATAAGGAGGAATGAGAGGATGAGGATGAGGAGGCGCAGGAGGAGGAGGAGGCGAAGGAGGAAACGGAGGGAGGACCAGGAATGATGACACATCGAAGGACGAAGAGGAGGGATGAGGAATGTAAAGCCAGGAATAGCGGGAGGCGCCGAGGAGGATGTGAGAAGGCGATTCAGTGCGTAGGATGATTTGGAGGATAGCCAAGAGGAAGCAAGGATCATGACCAGAAGGAGAGGGGGTGATGGGAAACAGCATGGACAACCTGGGTCTCCTCAGAGGGACCCGAGGGGCGCTTGCGCCTGTCTCAGAAGACGTCTCCTGGAACGCTCCTCGGACCCCACCTCTGGGATGCTTCAAGAGCCGGCCTGCGGCGGGTGTGCGCGTTCGCGGACGGACGATGCCATGCCACCAAGATCGGGGATGGGCAAAAAACCTCCTCGAGTAAAGCGTGGTTCAGTGAGTACGACATCGGGCCCAAACCTGGCGGGCGCAAGCCTGGATAATGACGGCCGCGGCGCCCTCTCGAGAAGCGAAGACGGACAATTCGCTCATCGACGTGTCAGGGTGTGGGTTCTGTCCGCCCCCGACAAATGCGAGCGTGAATCAAGGAGGTCGGCAGGCATGGGACAGTACGCTGGACCAGAGAATCTGCTCTCCGCCCGCAAACGGATGCCGACGCAAGATGCCCTCCTCCCACAGTCCTCGAGGGGCAGACTGAGAAACATGACCACCACCACCTGTGACATGAAGATGCAGGTGTGCAGGATGCCACGCGAGCGCGACTCAAAAGGTAAGTCTACACCACCACTGCCTCCGACCCCCCCTCTGCCTCCGTCCAGTGGTGCTGATCCTCCTCAGTCTGCCCAGTGGAACAAGAGCGAGGAAAGCAAAGTATTCGTGACCAGGGGCGGCACCACAGAGGGCGCGCTGGAGACTGGGTCGTCGTGACGGCTCGAGCAGATCACCGCCTGCGTCGCGCTCTGACGCGCGCGGTGCACGAGAAGATACGAGGCGGCAGGTCCAAGACTGCAGAATTCCTGCTGCAGAGCGAGAGGCGCGATGGGGTGAGGGAGGGATGGCAGGAGCGAGGAGGGATGCAAACCTGAGGGCAGCATGCAATCGGCACGTCCATCTGGCTCGAGAACAGGATGTTCAGAAAACACATCCTCTCCAAACCTCCGATGTCCTGTTGTCGAGACGCCGTTCTCACAGATTTCGCGCAGGGGGCTCTCGTTTGCGAGTCCTCAGGGCCCGAGAGTTGCCCCTTGAGCTCCAAACTACACATCGGGCGGAAGAAGTAGGTAGAACCATGAAGTAGGAAGGCGTTGGAAGTAGATTGGGTCTCCGCCCGCCTCCTGAAGAGGAGGGAAGAGGGAGAACCGCTCGATCACTGCAGCAGGAAGGCGCTTCAAGCAGACTGGGACCTGGAAATCCAAGCACACCTACTGTCAACGACCGATGGGTACCGGAGAGACACTGCCCGTCCTGGCTTCGCAGGGCCGCGGGGCTCTGCGTCTCCCAGCCCCACCGCGGGAGAGTCCACCGTGCCCGTCCGCCCGCCCCCCCCCTTCTCAGCACCCTCCCCCCCCTTACCCCTCCCCGTAGCACCGCCAGACTTGCCGGGCCAGCCCTTGGGATGCGCAGCTTCTTCCAGCGGGCCCTCGCGGCAGTGGTAAGGAGCTCTGTCTGCGTCGGCGGCTGGGCAGGGGGGCGTCTGCGCTGGCGACGGATCGGGCCTGAACGGGGACGCCGTCAGAGCGAATTGCGCCACAATGCAAGAGGAAGCGCAGGGGGGGAGGGCGCGGCCGAAAGAGGGGCGGACGGAGCGAGCGGCTCAGGGGGGACGGGTCGCTAGTGAGAAGGAACACATGTGCTGACTGGCAAAAGGGGGCTGTGGGCACAAAGGCGCTGTGCCGGGGCCAGAGAAGCGGGAACCGCAGTCGGACAAAAAGGGAGCTGGAGCCGAAGAGCAGAAGAAGGTTGGAGATTCGTGTGGATATCAACTGGCGTCGGCGACATGGGTGCCACCTCCATAGTATGGTCAGGGCATCCGTCTTCGTAGAAAAACATTACACAGAATGCGGCTTGTGAACGTTTTCTTACTCGGCGTTTCGAAATTTGGCGGAAGGTGGGGGAGAGGGGGTGGTCTGTCTCCAGACCTCTGCTGAATGCGACTGATTGCAACAGTGCTTCGTATGGGGAGACTCCACCTGCTTGAAACAGGCGCCAAAAACAGCCAAGATCTACTCCGTGGTGGGATGGAGGGGGTGAGAGGGCCCGCGCCGATCGGCAAAACAAAGAATAAGAAAACGATCACCGTCCAAACTACTCCACGCGTCAGCGTCAACAATCCTCAGGAGGACGTGTATTGCGCCGATTGGGGTCGACGCTTCCTGTAGTGATGCCTTCTCATGTGTTTCACATGTCCAATTCAAGCTAAACGAAAATAGGAAATGTCATCCCACCAATTCCTTTTCGCTCTGTGGCTGCGCATCTGTGCGTTGAGGTGCGGGTGTTCTGATTGGCCCCACATAAGACCCTAACGGTCCAGTCCGATGACTGTGCCACCACGACATTCAGGGCTGGGGCTACCACATCTGAGCCTGGGCTCAAGCTGCCGCAGCATGCGGGAAGGAGAGGCGGGTACAAACGAGGGCGGGGAGGGAAAGGAACAGGACCACTGTCGGCGCCTGCCGCCCAGGGCGAACGCCCAGGCCGCGCCCACAATCTGCGTGAGAACCAAGCCGAGGCGGCACCCGCCTCCCCTTCTCGGGGGGTGGGTGCCATGCGGGGACCAAGTCCGTCATCGCAGTGGCCAGCCCCACCACTCTCTTCGCTCATCCCCGAACCTCAGCCAATTGCCTGACTCCGCCCTGTGCACCGGCCACGCCCCTACGCCGCCAGAGCGCGGCCACCCACTTACTTTAGTAGTGGAAACAATTGGTTTTCAAAATGTTTGGTCTTTGGAAGCTCTGCGTGGCGACGCCCCCGTCGCCACGCGTGCCCTCTGCGTGCCTGCGGGGGCGCCGCCACGTAGAAGCACTGGAGACCGAGCATTTGGGGCGTCGCTGCGCACGCCCTCTGCGTGGCTGCGACCATTTGTTAAAACCCTAAAACCAATTCAATTCACGAATAGAGTAGTGGTCTTGCGCCCTGGTTGCGAGGAGGAGCACGCGCCGAGGTGGGCCCCTCCCTCCGCCCTCGCGGCAAGGGGCTCGAGCCCGGGCCACCTGGATCTCCGCCGCTGCCGCCCGCCTGCACCGAGCCTCGACTTGTTCACTGCGTGGAGCTGGGGCCTCACACGGTGCCTCCGTCTCTCCCTCCCCCCTTGCCTCTCCGTGTCCCCCCTCCCCTCCCCCCCCAACAGAGCGCAGCACTGCTCCACCCGAGCGGCCCTGAGTGCTGCGCGCCGCAGCCTGTCCCCCTCATCCGCCTCCTGCGCTAACAGGTTCATCCACATGTGTCCTGCCCCGCTTCCCTCTCTTTCGACTCCCGCGCCTTATTCCCCAAGAAGGTTTTGCCTTAAAGGAGTTCTTACTTGTTTGTGAAGAACTGGTGGGTGGTGCACGCGGCCGTCGCCGAGTTCCCTGGGGCTTCACGTGGTCATAGTTCCTTGCAAACGGGTTTCCCGAGGTACTTCGGTTTTGTTTTCTTACAAGGCGTTGCTTGCGTTCCCTTGGTTCCCTGGTCTTGGTTCCTTGGACTTGGTTCCATGGTCTTGGCTTCTTGGTCCCTTGTCCTTGGTTCCTTGGTTCCTTGGTTCATGTGTTCCTCGATCTTGTTTCCGTGGCTCCTTAGTGTTGGCTCCTTGGTCTTGGTTCGTCGGTTCCTTGGTCTTGGTCCCTTGGTCTTGATTCCTCGGCTTTTTGATCACTTGGCTCCTTGGCCTTGATTTCTCTGCTCCTTGGTTTCGGTTCCTTGGTTCCTTGGTCTCTCTTCCTCGGTTCAGTGGTCTCCGTTCCGTGATTACTTGATTCCTTGGTCTTAATTGGAGCCTTGGTTCTTTGGCCCTGGCTCCTGGGTAGTAGTTGTAGTTCCTTGTTACCTTGGTTCCCCAATTCGGCTGAGCCTAAGGGGTTCTCACTCGTTTGTGAAGAAGAATTGGCGGTTGCCTGGCGCGGTCGTCGCTGGAGGTCCCCAGGATTGCCTGGTCTTGTTTTCTTAGAGGGTTTTCCCCGGGGTTGCCCAGTCTCGTTTCCTCAAGGGTTCGTTGTTTGGTTGCCCAGGGTTCCCACGGGTTGCCAAGGATTGCCCCGTGGCCCAGGTTGTCAAAATGGCTGGGGGGTGCTTGGTTGCCTGATGCCCGGGTTGCCCGGTTGCCCAAGTGGCCTGAGTAGTTTTCGTGTTCCACAATGTCGAACAATGCCAAGCAACGTCAAGCAACGCCAAGCAAAGCAACACAAAACAATGCCAAACTACGCCAAACAATGCCTCGCTACTTCTTTACTTGCGTCCCTCAACTTGCTTAGGAAACCTTTCCCCACATTGAGGTCGCGCCGCGTTTCGTCCATTTGTCAATCGAATTGCTACTTGAAACTTCCGCCCTGCCTGGCGGCGTTGGCTGCTGGGGAGGTGGAGAGCAGCGGCGTAACTGACACCCATACCGCAACATCGAGGCCCAGAGGGGGAGGCGGAGGCGGAGGAGGAAGCAAACGCCACGGGTCTGGCGCCCTGCGTCTGACCATCGCAAAAGGAGGATGACGACGCGGCCGAGGATGGCCGAGGAAGGGGGGGCAGCAGCAGGGAGGGGGGCGACGTGGCCGAGGGAGGGGGAGGCCGAGGCAGGGGGCGGGAGACCCGGGGGGGCGCCAAGCGGACCGAGGCGGCAAGAGCAGCACGCGCTGGGCGGCGGCGCGCGCCTTGGACTGCCTCCGCAGCGGCCGGCCCTGGCCCGGCTGCCTTCGGGGGCGGCCACGAGGGGGGCGGACAAGAGGGGGGGGGGGGGGCGCAAATCGCGGCGAGCGGCATCTGCGCCGGCCCATCGGGGGGCCGGGGACGTGGTGAACTGAGAAGCGGTGCCATGAAGTCTGGGGAGATCGCACGGCCCCCGCCGTGATTTCCACCCCCTCCTAGTCACATCACCCCTCTCTTGGCCGCCCCAGATGCCTGGGCGCAGAGGGCGGGGCTGCTGCCACGGCCGGGCCCTGGGCCGCGGCGGCCGCGGCAGCAGGCTGCTCCAGCGGAGCCAGCCCGCGCGCGGGCGCCGGCGCCGCCTGCGCGGCGTCGTCCGCCGCCGCGGCGCCCCGGCCGCAGTCGCCGGCGCCCCCCGCGCCCGCGGGGCCCGAGAGGCTGCGGCGCGCGGAGCCTCTCGGCGGCGCCCTCGGCGCTCGCTGGCGCAGCTCCTCCATGGCCAGGGCCGTCTGCGGGCGCTCCGCCGGGGCGTCCGCCGCGGAGCTGGGCGTGGCGGCCTCGTGGCCCCGCGCGCTGGCCGGGCTGGCCCCGACGCCGCCCTCCGCCCTGTTTGAGCAGGGACAGACCGTCCTGGCATTCCTACATGCCTACCACGAAACGATCCTCGAACCCACAAATGTTCTAAGAACAAATGCGATGTTTTTAGAACATAATCCCGATGTGATAAAACAAGACTCTCTCAGCCAGAAATGTTCTACAAACATTATGTGCAGACCACAGAAGGTTCTTAGAATCCTAGAACATTCTTTGTTGGGCCTAAAGGGAAGGCAGGACGCTTTGCCACTGCTCGGCCTGTGCCGCCGCAGCAGCGACCGGATGTCCAGCTCGCCCTCCCGGCTGGCCGCGGGGGCGTGCCGCCGGCGCTGCCGGGCCGCGTGCACGGCGTTGCCCGACAGCAGGCTGCCGCACGTCAGCGTGCTCGAGGACTCGCAGGACCCCTGCAGGTTCATCGAGTTCTCGAACCTCGGCGGGAGAAAAAAACGAGTCCTGTGGAGGATACGGGAAACGGGTGCTAAGCAGACCCTGGGGCCTTCCCCAAGGACCAACGTTTCATCCCGAGTCTTCTTACAGTCCTGGAGCCTGGGCAATGCAGACCGAAAACGCCACAGACGCCTCCAGAACCACACTTCCCAGACCCCCGACGTCATGATGTTCTCATAAAGTCGACTTCGGAGATCTCGACCCATTCCTTGGGACTGGGTTTTCATCCTGAGTCGTTTTTTGGCGGTCCCGAGGACCGGTAAGAGCCTCCACAGGCCGAGAATGTAGAACAACCTCCCGTTATGATTTTTGTTCATTCGCCGAAGGGGTCTGGGTTCACTCTAACCAAGAGCCTGAACTTGCCGCTGTCGCAGCCGGACGCATCCGCAGCGTGGCTGGGGCTCTGGCGATCCAGCGGCCGCAGCCACGAGCTGAAGGCCTGGCTGCCAGGCGGGGCCTCCTTCAGCCTCTCCAGCAGGAGCGCGAGCTCGCTCGGCTCCTCGGGGGGAGACCGGGATGTTGGATTGCGGCGCTGCTGAAGCATGCAGCCTGTGAGCAACAGATGGCACGCAGCTTGCAGAGACCATTCGGCACGTGCAACAGCTGCACTTGACGTCGAAGTCATCTGCACGGGCACCAAGTGAACAAGTTCAGAACAGTACGTCCCATCGATCCCGCCCCAATCAAACTCCCACCTCCATGGAACCTCTCGAATGGCAGGGGAGAGACCAGGGGGGGAGGGAGGGGGGATGGGGGCGGACGGAGGGAGAGTGACGAACGAGGAGGGAGGAATGGGGAGGAGGGAGCGAGGAGGCAGGGAAGACAGGAGCGAAACACGGGCGGGAGGAGGACCGGAAGAGGGGAGGGAGTGGGGGAAAAGATACAGGAGGAGGAGGAGGAGGAGGAGGAGGAGGAGGAGGATGTAGGAGCAGAAGGGATCGAGAGTGGGGGATAGGAAACATGAGGGGTGACGGAGGGCCGAAGAGGAAGGCGAGGGGAGGGGGGAAGGGAAGGAGGCGGGAGGCGAACGAGACACTTGACAGCCTTCGAGTATCGAAAAACAAGTGGCAGCCGTGCCATCGCTCGTGCACAAAAGAAAAGCGGCGAGGGACAGAAAGAGTAGGGTGAGGAGGGACGAATCTTTTGAGGCTTCTTGGAGAATGGCGAGCGAATGAGTCCCAATGACTCCGAACTCTGCAATCGAATTTGCTGGTCCAACTGGCCGAAGGCGTGCTAGAATCTCGCGTACCAAGAGGTTCAGAGTATTTTGTATGTACTAGCTCATGCGCGGGGCGGCCACTAGGGGTCCCCAAAAATACAGCATCCTGGAACTAGCCATCAAGATCGGGTCAGACATGATTTTTCTCCTGGGGGCGGCCCTGAGGACACCCGAGAGTGCCCCACGGTCGCCCCAAGGGAGCTCCAAAAGAACCCAAGAGCAGCCAAAGAGCGGGGATCAATGGGTGGCAGGCCCCAAGAGGCCCCAAGCGAGTCCAAAGGTGGACCAATATGGTCCAAGACAACTCCACGAGACCCCCGAAACGGAGCCTTAGATATCTAAATCACGCAAGCACCACGTGATTCAATTATTGCCGTTCTCTCGCCGTTTCGCTTTCAATGCACTTCTGAAGCCTCCAAACGTCTCCAAGATCGCCGAAGATGGCTCGAAGTGGAGCCCACCAGGGCTCCGAGCAGGCTCCGACGACTCCCCAGATCGCTCCAAGAGGCCTCCAAGAGAGCCCCAAGAAAAGGCCTCATAATGGGGATAAAAAGCCAAAGTTGCCCCCGACGTATCCCCACTATATCCCAACATGGCCCGAGCATCCATCAAGAGGCCTCACAAAAAAACCGAAGAGCCAACATCATTCACATGAGCAAATATGTTTAATGATTTCGCTCGCGGTGTCGCTTCTGATGGGCTTTTGAAGCCTCGAGCTGGCTCCGAGACCACCCAAGATGGTTCCAAGTGGAGCTCAGAAGGACTCCTAAGACTTCCAGGGCGCCCGAGGAGCGCCGCAAACGGCCTCTAAGAGTCCCCAACAATGCCCAAGGGCAGTCCGAAAACGGGGGATCAACGGGCAGAAGACTTCAAAAGGGCCCCAGAACAGCCCAACGAGACCCCGAGAGAGTCCCAAAGCGGCCAACGATGGTCCAAGACAGCCCTTAGAAGGCCCTCGAAACAAAACCCAAGATAACAACCTCCTTCAAACCTATGCTTGATTTGGGCGTTCTCACCTGCTCGCTTCCCATGCGCTCGTGAGACATCAGTATGGCGCACAATCGCCTAAGATAGCCTCGACTGGAGCCTAAACACGTTCGAAGGAGGCTCCAAAGACCCCCAGGAACGCCCCAAGAACGCACCATGAGAAACCCCCAAGACTGGCCCACGAGCGAAGACCAATAGGTCACAGACCCCAGGTGAGGGACAGAAAATGAGAGACAGAGAGCGAGAGCGAGAGAGAAGCCGTGCACGCCAGAATTGCATTGGTAGAAAGGGTGAAACGACTGCGACCGGCGATGCGAAGCCTCCAGCGTCGCTGGCTCCACGTACAAGGAAGCCAAAATTGCCCGCAAGGTGGACGACCCGGGAGAGCAGTCGCAGCAGGGAGGCAGAGGAGGGAGCGACACATGGGGTCCAGGACGAGCCCAGAGCCAGGGGCAGGAGGAGGGCGATCGACAGGGGACGACAGCCGAGAGAAGGGGGAGGGGGAGGAGGGCGACAACCCGTGCGACAGCCTGGGGGACGAGCAGGAGAGAGAGCAGGCAGAGGAGCGACGCAGGACGGCGAAGAGGGGGCGACGACACCACCCGGAGGGCATGCGGCGGGGGCGAGCTTTCGGAAGTCCTCCCTAAAACTCACTGCAATGAATCATAATCACAATCACAGATCTCGTGAATCAAAAACTATATAAACGTTCAGCCCTTGATGCCACAAAGCGTGCAAAGAGTCCTCGCCGCCGGCCGTCTAAAAAACGAGACCGTGCACCTGAAACTTCCACGCGTTGCGGGGCCGACCCTTCTGGCGAGCCCCAGCCTGCAACTGCCTGCGCGTCAGTGTGTCGCTCAGCTTCTGAGCGCAACATCGCTGCAAAAACGTTTCGTTGTGAATACGGCTTATGTACGCGTGCTTGATGCCCGAAATCTGGCGCAGGCAACACGCCTGAAAAGCATCAATCGTGCTGCGCTCTGCTTTGTTAAACCAAACAAGGTGTAAGCAATATCGCAATTTAGGTACTACACGCGCGTCAAAACCTGCTAACTTCTTGTCGGGGGGCAGCCGCACGTGCTTCCACACATTAGAGCTCAAGGGTCCTCCTAAGTAGATCATGCTGTCCTTGCTCGGGATGGGCGCGGCGTCTGGCTCCGTCGAGGCTGTCAAACTGGAAGCCCTACCAGACCCCAGGATGGCAGCGAAACAGCACTAAGAGGCTCCAAGACACCCCAAAGGAGGCCCGAGGGTCCAGAACAGCCCCGAAGAGGCTCCGAGAAGCCCCTGACGGTGTGCAGAAAACCCCCAGGGGCAGCCCAGAGACTCCCAGGAGTCCTCGAAGATGCTCCGACAGCGTAGGAAGGGGCTCGGCAAAACGTAGCACAAACGTTTTCATATTAGAGGCCTCCTAGATGCTAGATGGGGTCGGAGTAGATGGGGCCGGAGGATCGCGCCGCATCGCCGATGCATCGGTGATGCATCGGCAATGCATCGGCGATGCAGCGGCGATGCATCGTCGACGTGGGCGATGCATCGGCGACGTCGAAATGGAGCAAATTGGGCTCCACATCGAGCCGCATCGGCGATGCATCGGCGATACAGCGCGATCCTCCGACCCCCCCTACTCCGACCCCACCTAGGAGGCCTAGACATATGTTCCATGAACGGTGACTGCCTTCTGGTTCCTGTGGGCTTCGGTTGTGAAACGTTGGTGGGGGCGTGCTCCGTTCGGGGTCGTCCTCCACATGCCCAGCGACTGCTTCTTACCCACTCGAACTCCACCTTCCATCTCCCTCAGTCCACTCCCCTCCCTCTCCCCCGCAATGCAACATCCTTCTGCGTTTCCCGCAATGCAACATCCTTCTACGTCCCCCGCGCAAATCGGGAGCGCCATAGCAGACTGCGCCGGGGAAGGGATGTTGTGCCCGCCCCCCCCGTTACGTACACGCGGCACCTTCCACCACATGAGGTGGGCGTAGCGCGACGCAGGTAGCCCTGCGCCTGGACACGCGGTGTTCGAATCGTTGCGCTGTCCCTCTCTCCCTCTCTAGAGGAAAATAAAAACACACAAACATAAACTTTCGACGGTCTGCGTGGAGCGCCAGAAATTCATGGTTGTGTTTTTTTCTTCTTCGACTTTCGCCCTCCCCCCTCCCACCTACTCCCCACAGCGCACTCGGAAACACCACGCGATGCGCCCAATGCTCTCTCTTCCCTGTCGTTCCAAGGCTTCCGGGCACCCCGCGGGCTCTCTCCCAGCAGGCGTGCTGCCCTCCAGGGGGGCGCTCCTCGGAGAAGGACTGGACGGCCGGCAGCTCCGCCGCCTGTCGCGCTACTGTCTCTGTCTCTTTCTCTCTCTCTCTCTCTCTCTTTCTCTCTCTCTCTCTTTTTTTTGTTTCTCTCTCTCTCTCTCTTTCTCTCTCTCTCTCTCTCTCTCTCTCTCTCTTTGTTTCTCCCCACATCCAAAATGGAATTCTTGTTTTCTCAGCGCACCCCCCGCGCAGAAACCTCACACCTCACCCCCGCTCCTCTTTTCCCGTCGCACGCTCACTCATTCACCCGATCACTCACACCATCACACAATCCTACGCGCACACACGCAGTCACTCACAATCAATGATCACTCACTCGTCATCACAGTCGCTCGATCACTTTCATTCATGCCACTCAAAACTACCCCTCACCACTCATCCTCATTAACATCACATCACCATCGTTTTGTTCCCCACATCCAAAGTGGGTTTTTGTTACCCACATCCAAAGAGGGGTTCTTGTTTCCTCTGGACACCCCACGCAGGAGCAGGACGGACAACAAATACCTCCTCGCTTCTCGCTCACACACTCACACATCCACATCATCATCGCAACAGCAACGTCAATTTCACAATGACTCACACTCGCTCGACCGCTCTCACTCACTCATTCACAACTACTACATATCACTCATCATCACCAGTATCCCAACACCAACGTCACCATCGTCATTCTCGCACACACACTTACTCACACACCCACGCACGCAGCTTGAGGAGGTCTCTGGCGGGAGCCTCGTGTGTGAGTGAACACCACCACTATCACTCATCACCATCGTCACCATCATCACCCATCACCCGCCACCATCGTCACCATCACCCATCGCCATCGTCCTCATCACCGGAAGAAGTCTCACGCGGCAGCCTCGACTGTGAGTGAATTGCGGGGAAGTCTCAGGCGGGAGCCCCCTCCCTATGGCCCCCCAAGCATTTCATGTTCGAATCCGAGGCGGGTCATCGACCTCTTGTAACACTCGTCACTCTGGGCTTCCTGAGGCCTGAGAATGAAGGACGTATCAGGAGGGAGCCTCGTGTATGAGGGAGTCGCAAGGAGATCTCAAGCGGGAGCCCCGTTTTCTATGGGGCTCGAACTTCACGTTCGAAGCCGAGGCGGGTCATCGGATCGGCCTCCTGTAACTGTCGTCACTTTTGGGCGCGTGAACTTGAATATGAAGGAACTATCAAGCGGGCGCGTCGTCTGTGAGTAAATCGCGAGGAAGTCTCACGCGGGAGCCCCCTCCCGATGGGCCTGCACTTCATGTTCGAATCCGAGGCGGGTCATCGGCCTCCTGTAAGTGTCGTCACATTGGGGCTCCTGAAACCTGAATATGAAGAAGTATCATGCGGGACGTGGCGGCGCGGACAGCGAGTCCTGTTCAAAATTAGCAGGAACTGCTGTTGGACATTGCACACATTCTATATGTACCCATTTCGTGCGTGCAGAAAAAAACAATGCCGACGAAGTTCGGGGAGGTGGATGGGCGCAGATAACCCAGGCACCCCCGCGAACGCGAAAGGGAGGAGGGCTGCGTAGACTACCTGGCGTGCTTGTGTCTGCGCAGGACTTTTTTCTCTGCGCGGCAACTCGCGGCGCGAATTCGCTCGCGCACGAGTTTGCTGCAAAGCGTGTCCGGAGATCGGCTCTATCAATAGTTGCGCCATGTGCGCTATGTAATTACTGGCATGATACTTAGGTCGTGCTCATGCGTTTGCGTAGTGCCCCGCGTCTACCCATGATTCTGCCCGCGCAGCATCGTTGCGCGCTTGTTGTCGGCAGAATGTTCTGCTAATCCTACATCTGCCCCACGTGCGCCGCGGATCTGCGGCGCCGCTGCGCTTTCGCGCGCGCGCTGTTTTCGCGCCGAGGCCCCGCCGCGAACGCGCCCCGCGCGCGGCGCATCCCGCGCGCGGCCTGCGCATTCCTGCCCGCGCACAGGGGCGGGGCACTGCCCGTCAACAAGTTCCGAAACTTACACGAACGAGCTCAACTCTGCTGACTGACGCATCAACCGCCAGGACGCGCAATCTCCGCCCGAATCAGGGCGCGCCCTGATCTGAGGCCGCGGGGGCCGCTCGATGCCCTTGCCGACCGCGCGGAGGCGCTCCTCTCTGATGGCGACCCCCCGGCCGTCCAGTGGCAGCGCCAGCTTGTCTCGCCGCGCGCCAGGCCCCCAGCCCGCGCGGCCGGCGCGTTTCGACCTTGCCACGAGGCCGAAGACAAATGCAGAGACGCCAGGCAGGGCGTCGGCGCCCAGCCCCCTCGACCGCCCTCGACGTTGCAAGCGAACGCGCGCCTCGGAGAATCATTGCCACTGCGTCCCGGCGCCGCCTTCCGTCGACCACGCCCTTGGGATAAGGGTCGGCGCGACGACGGCGAGCGGCCGGAGGGGGCGACTGGGCCAGGGCCAGCGGGGGGCGGCAAGTCCTCGCCGAGGAATCACAGGGCCACGCTTCTCACCTGCCTTCCCAGTGAACTCCCCCAGCGCTCCGATTGCGCGGCCGCGCCCTGCCCCGCGCCGCCCTGAGACGGCGGGCCCCGCCCCCCACAAGGGCCGCGGGATCGGCCGGCCACTTCGGACGGGGACTCCACGGGGAACGCGAAGCGCCCTCGGAGGCGGCGCGAAAACGCGCTCCGAAATCGCCCGCGCGCGCAGCGGGCCCCGTCACCGCGGGCCCGTCGAGGAGGACGCCGCGGCCCCTGGCGGCGTCGGCAGCCGCGCCCACCAGATGGGCGCACTGCGTCGCGCGGTGGCCAACGACTCTCGCGCCAGCGGGGCGCCGGACCCCCTCGCGAGCGAAATGCATGGCCGACCCCGCGTTCGCGGGAACCGGCGCTTTCGCGGGCGCGCGCTAGCCGCGGGCCCCGCCGCGCGCGGTCCCGACGCCCACCTCGCCCCTGCCCGTGTCGCCATCCATCCCCCTGTTCCTCCTCTGCTCATCGTTGCCGCCGCGCTTCATAATCGCCATCGCTGCCGTGCTCCCGCCACCCCCGCCGCATATCACATCGCCGACGTCATCGGCGACGTCGCCCCGCGCCGCCCCCCTCATCCTCCTCGGCGTCGCTATCGTCGTCGCCGTCGTCTCAGTGGCCCATCGCCCCCCCAATCACCATCGCTCCTCCTTTTCATCCCCCCCCTCCTCCTCGCCGCCGCCATCGTCGTCGCCCCCGTCCTTCCTCGCCCTCGCCCTCGCCCTCGCCCTCGTCGCTATGATCGTCTTTCATGGGCGAAGATCATCGGGAATCAGCGGAGACTGAATGGCCCGCGGGGGGGGGGGGCGGCGGGCGCAACGCGGGAATGGGGCCCCCCAAGCGGGCGGCCCCGCGTCGGGGCAGTCGCTTCGGGAAGGCCAGCGCGGCGCCGCCCGCGCGAAGGAAAAGAACTTTTTGCGGGGCGACTCGGGCCACTCGTCGTCCTCATCTGCGCCCAGATCGCCCCAGCCGAGGGTCTGGATGGGCTGGCCCTATCGGCGTCGATGGAGAACTCGTTGCATCTTGGCAAGGAGGGGTTCAGCGTTTCCCCCCTCAGCGTCTCGTCCGGAATTCCCATGGCGGTCTTCGCAGCTGCTGCGGCGACCGCATCTGGCAGCTTGTTCCTCTGGCCCAGTTTCCTGGCCTCCTCGATCATCGTCGCTGGCAGTTTGCCGAGCGAGCCGCGTCTCGAATTCTTCTCGAGATCCTCCTTGTACTTCGTGAGCTCCAGCTCGAAGTTCTTCTTGCTCTCCTCCGACGTTGCGACCAAGATGAGAGACGCCGCCGTCTGCGTGGTGTTCCTGTTGCCCCCAGTTGGCCTCGCAGAGATCTGTGGTCGCCGGTGTTGCGGCCCCCGTCCGTTGCTGAGTCCTCGTAGCGTCAAAATGCACCTTGCGGCACATGTGTGCAGTCTCCTTGATTGTGGCAGCCAGCTCATGATCCCTTGCTTTGCCCGCCTTCGCGCGGTCCTTGCGCGCCGCCTGTGCGGCATCGTCCTCTCCTTCGGGGGGGTTCGTGAGCTGTTCGGTATCCTTGTCGGAGCGCCTCCTTCTCGGCCAATGCGGCCTCGTGCGTCGAGGTGTCCATGTCCTCGTCGATCGCCGTATTTGTCGCCATATGCGTAAATATTCCTTCGTGGATTATGTTCGCCATTTCCTCGTTGAAGCCCGCGTAGCATACGAGGGTTTCCTTAATTGATCTCGGGATTTCCCTCCGGGGCCGTCCGCAGGCCGTAGACAACGAGCCCACATTTTTTCAGGAAGGCGGCCGAACGGCCCCGCTGGAGCCCAAGAAACCCTAGACGCCCACCAGACGCCAAGGAAGACCCCCAAAAGGCCCCCGGAACGCAACGAAAGCACGGATCCCCCACTCGAGTTTTTTGTGTAAAAAAATGGGGGATGCTTTGTTCCTCCGTCTTCTGGGCTTCCGGAACCGCCCAAGAAGCCCATGATGGCTCAAGATGGCCCAAAATGGCTCAAGAGAGCCCCCCTGACGGCCCAAGATGGCCCATGCGCTCCCCGAAGCATTCCAAATCGTGACCCTGTCGTTCCGAGAAACCGCGGTTGGAAGCAAGATGGCCCAAGGGGCCCCAAGAAGGCGCCCAGGAGGCCCCAAGAAGCACTTAAAAACTTCCGGGAGGCCCCCAAGAAGCTCTCCAAGGAGAAACCTCCGCAAAAAGAGCCGAAGAGGGTGGGGAAGAATACGCAGGGTAGGGCGAGAATGGGGAAAAGACAGAGGACACATGAAGGGCAAATGACGCATAACGTTCTTGTAACGACATTGTCAGAAACGGCAACAAGTAGGTATCGCTAAATGTTATGTGTGACCTTCCTGCCCGGCCGCCTGCATGCCGAACTTCAAGGGCCATGGCGCATGGCGCGAAGCGCCAGTGCAAACTTGTGTATGTGTACATGCATAAGAATATATGTGTATAGCCATTTATATGGTGTGTATAAATACATATATATATATATACACACATACTAGAACCATCGCGCGCGCTTCGCCCGCGCTCAGGTTCTAGTTGAGGTCACCGCTCAGGTGCGATGCCCGCGACGATTCTTACCACGAAGACGGCGGCGTGCACTCCGCTCACGTTCGCACGCCATGTTCCGGAGGAGCGTTCCCGGAGCATGGGGCGCCAGAGGCTCCCCCGCTCTTCCCCCCTCCCGGACGATCCTGCCGAGGAACTCTTGGGGGCTCTCTGGGCCCGCCTAGGGCTGTTTGGAACGGACCTGGAGGCGCGCTGGGCCCTAGTGGAGCGTCGGAAAGCCGAAAAGACAAGAAGGCCAAGATCCTCCAATTCCTACGTAAAATGAACGAGGTTGGCCTGTTGGGACCCTCGTGGGGGTGCTCCTGGAGGCGTCTTGAGCCATGTTTGAAGCCTCTTGGGACCTACCTGCGGCCTCCTGGGGCTCTCTTGAAGCGGAAGCCCTGGGTTTTCCGAACGCGGTCCGTCTCTTGGACACCTCTCGGGCCTGTTTTAGGGCACTCGTGGGCTGCCCTGGGCGCTTCTTGGGCCAGCCTTGGGCTCTCCGGGACCGCTTCGGGACGGCCTTGGGCGCTTCTGGAGCTGTTTGGGGGCGGTCTCGGAGGCCTCCTTGGCTGCCTAAGAGCGTCGGACAGCCGCAAAGATCGGAAGGCCAACACCCTTCCAAAATTATTGTGAAACCATCAATTTTTGGCCTGCTGGGGCCCTCGTGGGAGTGCTCTTGGAAGCGTTTGGAGCCATGTTGGGGGACTCTTGGGAGCTGCCTGGGGCCTCCGGGGTCACTGTTGAGGCGGGAGCCCTGGGTGTTCGGTACGCGGTCCCTCTCTTGGGCCGCTCTTGGGCTTGTTTTGGAGCCTTCTTGGGCTGTTGTGGGCGCTTCTTGGGCCAGCCTTGGACTCTCCGGGGCCGCCTTGGGCTTGTCTTGGGGGCCTCTGGGGCTGCTTGGGGGCGGACCTGGAGACCTCCTGGGCCGTCTTGGAGAGTCGTACAACCGAAACAACCTGAAGGCCAAATCCTTCCAAATCCTTCCGAACAAAAACTAGAAGGCCAAAATCCTTCCAAAATCCTTTCAAAAAACCATCAATGTCGGCCTCCCGGGGCTCTCTTGGGAGTGCTCCTGGAAGGGTCTGGAGCCATGTTGGAGGCTTCCCGAAACCTCTACCACGTGCTTCGGCGACATGGGTCGAAGATAGGAACCATTCCTGGTGCAGAAGCATCACCAGGGTCCGTCCAGAGCCGCTCGGGAAACGCCCGGGAGCGGCTCTGGAGAGGCCCGGGGGGGGGGGGGTCCCCCCATGGCGAGTCGAGGCAGCTGGCCAGAGGCCCCCGGCCCCGTACCCAGACATATATATATATATATATATATATATGTATATATATATATATAGGTATACGGTGGCTCTCGTATTCGGCCCCTCGCATTCCGCTTTTCGTTGGTCTGTCTGTATGTGTAGCTGTCGGTGTGTCTGCCTGCATGTTTGCATGACTGTCTGCACATCCCTCGCTCTCTCGCTCTCCCGCTGACCCTCTCTCTCTCTCTCTCCCTCTCTCTCTCTCTCTCTCTCTCTCTCTCTTCACATATATATATATATAGATGTGCTTACACACGCACGCACTACTATGTATGATCCTGGGCCAAGGGTTCACAGCCCCCCCCCAGATTGAATGGATCTCAGGGTTCCACAGACCCCCCAGATGGGGTAGCTTGGGGGACGACGACGCCGACGCCAACGCCGACGCCGACGCCCACGACGCCGCCGCCGCCGACGACGACGACGCCGCCCGTCGGCGCATCCACTCCCGCGGGCAGGGTCGCCGAGTCGGGTGCAGCCCACTGGCCCGTTGGCCTAATGGATAAGGCATCTGGATATAAGACCTCTGTCACCTCGGTCTCCGCCTCCTCGTTCCCCCGTGACACGGCATGGCATGGCGGTCGAACATGCTGCAACGCATTGCAGCCACAACGAGCGACGGTCAATGGCACCGCAACGGGGAACTGTGCACGACCGCCTTACATTCAACAACCACGCTAGAACACAATCCTGCCACGACACGCTGAACGTGGACTGCTGCCCACGCCATCCAGACAAAAGACGCATTAGCGAATAATCTCGCTCTCACTCGCCGTCCCGCTTTCATTCTCGTTGCGTTGCGTTGACGTCCTTCCCCCTGCTCACGTCCGCTCGGGTTCTCACTCGTAGTCCCCCCCCCACTACCACTCGTGCCCCCAGTCGCAGATCTTCAAAAGTGTCCCGAGGGCTGCGACCCTGCGAGGGCGGAACCCCACACTTCTCTCAGACGGTCCTGTCACGTCTGTGCGCCAAGGATTTGTCTAAACGGCGAGGTTGGAAGATCCCAAAGACTCATAAGCTAGTAGTTACTGCCACTCTCGCAACACGTGGGCGCGTATGCGAAAACACGCGCTGCTTGATTACATTGGACGCCCGAAATGGGTACGGAACAAATGGGTGCAATGCCCAACAACAATGGTTGTCCGAAGCCGACAGCGGCCGCTGTTGGAAAGGCACACAACGTCCGCGGCGGCGCGGACAGCGAGTCCTGTTCAAAATGAAGAGGAACTGTTGGGCATCGTACCCATTATTTCCGTACCCACTTCGATCGTCCCGAAGTATAGAGAAGCCTCAGGGACTTCATATGTCACCAGCCAGCACTCAACACTTGATTAAATATAGACTCACCTTCAAGCACTAGGACCCCAGCTTTGGAGGCCATGAGATATCATCTATACATCTCACCTGGGAAAATGACAACGTTTCCTGAGACCACGGCCCCCGGAGCTCACCTATGACACCGAGCGGGGGGGCTTTTCGCTGGTACGAGATGGCCCCAAGACCGCAGGAAAAGGACCCACGACGATCCTTAGATAGCCACTCTAGCGCGCGTCGGCCCTGAACTCCCCGAGACGGACGAGGAATTCCTTCCGCATCCCGAGAGACCACTCAGAGCAGTTCCTGGAGGCGGGAGGACAGTCGGAGCCGTGCCACGCGAAAACACCAATTCAGAGCCAGGCTCCCTTTTCGCGCCAGTTGCAAGTAGAGGTTTCTAGAACCCCAGGAGAAACCCAAGGAAGGACCTATCACCTGACCTGATGAACGAAGCCCCAGGCACCTTCCGAAACCCAAATGGCCCTTACTACAAGACTTTGCGTGTGCGGACACTGATTGGAACGAGAGCTGATGCCCTTCCGCGCGTGCAGAGTGAGCCCTCCTGCTGCTGTGGGGAGGTCGGCGGTGAAGCCGCGGCCCCTCGCAAGGAATCTGTCGACCTTCTTGGCCCGTGCGGCGCGTTGGCACAAGCCTCCGGGCGCGAGGGTCCAGGGACGATGACAATGGCTCTAGCGAGGCACCCCTGACCCCTGGCGGCGGCCCCGCCTTCGCCTGCAAAGCCCACCAAAGCTGAGCCACCCGCCCCTTTCCACGAGGAGAGGCAGAGGAGAGGTGGAGGCAACGTAAAGGCACATCGAGGCCATGGCGGCAAGATGTTGTTGCCCACAGGCGGCTTCTTGAGGCAGCCCAGGCTGGCCACTGCCAAAGCCCCGCAGGTAAACCCCAGGTGATCTCAGCACCCTCGCGCTGCCTCTGGCGCCCCCCCCCTGCAGTGGGGCGCTCCGCGCCCCGGGGCTGGGGCGTTGACACCGCCGTCGAACACCTCTGGGACCAGGTGGCCAGGGCCACCCAGCTTCGCGCATCGCGCCGCCCCCCTGGAGAAGGACAGTCCCCTGGAGGCCCGGGCACACGTGGACCCCCCCCCCCTCTCCCAGAGCCTGCGAGGAGCCCCCTCTGAGCCAGCCGCGCTCCTGCCCCTTCCGAACCCAGGGAGGCCCTTGTCGCTTGGTGATGCCTCGCCTCCAAATTTAGCTGGAAGGGCCCGCAAGCATCGGGATGCATCAAAAAAGGCCCAAACAGTGCGATTCGTCATGTGCACTCGTGAGCCATGTGCCCTGGACTGTGAGACAGTCTGGCGCCCCGTGGCGGCCCCGCCTCTGCCAGCGCCGCCGCCAAGCCCAGGTGCGCCTGCGCGCGCTCGGCTCCCCGCCGCCTCCGCTGCCCTTGCGCCGCCCGAGACTCGATGCCCCAGATCCGCGTCCAAGATCGGCAATCGGATATCGACTGACCGAGGATCGAAAGGCCAGATTTGTCGGCGCATCCGGAGGCCTCCACGGACCTCCTGGCGGCAAGGTGGCACGGTCCCAACTGCACCGTTGCCCCAGAAAGGCAGAGAGCTTCCGATGTGATTGGGAGGGCATGAAGGCACTCTTGGTTCTATAGGGACGCCCGAATTATCGGTCGCGGCAGTATGAAGGTCCTGGTGTTTTTGTCTAGCAGACTTGCCTCGTGAATAATACCATGGCCACCGCCGTTGCGGGTAAGAGTGCGGTGGGTGGGCTGGGTCGCGGGCAGTCTGCGAAACTCAAACGCAAATTTGACGAAATGTGGGAAACGGCAACAATAACGACAAGAACACTGACGACAATCCGAGACCGTTCGACACCCTCACTCTGACTGTTGATGACTATGACTAGATCACAATCCTACCCACGTTCCTCGTTTGCTCCTGCACCATCGCCCGGCATTGTCTGGATGACACGCCTTGTGGATTGGCTTTACTATCAGCACGATTCACCACACAACACGGCCCAGGGCAGGACAGCAAGCCACCTCATAATGCAACGGACACGTTGAAGGAATATACTGCCAGCGGCCTTGTGAAAGGCACACGCGATCAAAACTAGGACCAGCTCCACGCAGAAACTGAAATATCCTATCAACTCGGGGAGCCGCACATTCACCACACCACGCTACAAGCACAGCACAGAACTGCGCAACCCACTGATCAAAGCACGCTGCACAACAAATGTAGACCTTTTCACCCGCCGCCGCATGGACACGTGCTGCACCCAATCCTCGCGAGTACTCGAGTGGCTTACCGCAGCAAGCGCCAGCGCACTGTAGGCGGGAAGTGGCACCTCGAAATCGCTGTGCCGAAAAAATCAGCCGACCCTGTCGGCGTGTGACAAGGGCTGTTCCGTCGCCATCGATTTCGCTGCCGCCGTCGCGTCGCCGCCGCCATCACGCTCCCTCCTTCCCCTGAGTCCGTCGCCGCTCCCTTCCCTTGGGCCCTCGTCCTCAAGCACGCCAGCCAAAGCGAAATACACTAGCCCGTCCACAGCGAGATTCAGCAACGTTGTCATTGAGTCGAAGGGAAGCCCCTTCCCTTTGATCCCTTCCCCGCGGACGGCGGGGCAACTATAATTATTCTTCAGAAACGAGAATTCGACAACGACAACGCCAACCATCAATTTAAGACTGCTCGCGCTTACCTGCTCGCGTGCCATTCAACACGTATATCCCAAGCCCTCGATAACCGGCCTCTCCGTCTTCGACCGTAACCCCCATTGGGGGTTCTCTGTCTTACCTGCGACGTGTATTTCGTGCAGCTCCTCAGGCAGGGGAAGGGAGGAGGATGGAGCACGAGAGAGAGTAGCAGGAGGGGGGCAAACAAATCGTGGCAACCAGACGAAGAGACCGGGCGGGTAGACCCTAACAGGCGGGACGTGAAGGAGGGCCCAGGCGGCCAAGTCGAGCAGGCGGGTTGCTGAAGCATGCGTCCTGCATGAATAGCGAGGACGTCTCGAGCGACAGCGCGACTCCCAAATAAATCGTGAGGACATCCACAGCGAGAGCGTGATTCCTGAGTGTCGAGGGCGCGGCGTCTGAATAAATTGCGAGGAACTTCCACTCGAGAACGCCATGTCTGCATAAATCCCACCAGCCCTTTAGGGCGTAGGTGGTCTAGAGCGTTTCCTCTGCCAACCCCCCTTCTTTCCCTTCGGGGAGGGGTTTACCCCTCCCCTTACCCCTCCCCACTGACCTGGACGGGGCGTTCCGCGACGCGTTGGGACGCCCAAGATGGCCCAAGACTGCTCCAAGAGCGAAAAGGCGAGAAAGCACAAAACATTGATTTTCCTTAGGTTTTGGAAGGATTTTGGCCTCTTGGGGGGGCCCAAGAGGCGATCCGAGGCACTCTAGAGGGGCGAGGCTAATTGAGGCTCCCCCCTTCTTTGATATATATTCCCAACATGGCCCCAAGAGCGCCCCGAAGGCTCCCAAGAGCGCCCCAAGAGCGCCCCAAGAGCGCCCCAAGAGGGCCCCAAGAGGCGCCCAAGATGCCTCCAAGAGGCTCCCAAGAGACTCCCAAGAGGCCCCAAGAGAATCCAATATGGCCCAAGACGGCTCCAAGAGCGAAAAGGCGAGAAAGCAAAAAACAATGATTTTCTGTAGGTTTTGGACGGGTTTTGGCTTCTTGGGGGGGGGCCCAAGAGGCGACTCGAGGCACTCTAGAGGGGCGGGGCTAATTAAAGCTCCACCCTTCTTTGATAGATCTCCTCCAAGATGGCGCCATGAGCACCCCGAAGGCACCCAAGAGCGCCCCAAGAGCGCCCCAAGAGAACCCCAAGAGGCTCCAAGAGACGCCAAGAGGCGCCCAAGAGGCCTCCAAAAGGCTCCCAAGAGACCCCCAAGAGGCCCCAAGAGGCTCCCAAGATGGCCCAAGAAGGCTCCAAGAGCGAAAATGCGAGAAAGCAAAAAACATTGATTTTCCATAGGTTTTGTAAGGATTTTGGCCTCTTGGGGAGCCCAAGAGGCGACTCGAGGCACTCTAGAGGGGCAGCGCTAATTGGGGACCCCCCCTTCTTTGATAGATCTCCTCCAAGATGGCCCCAAGAGCGCCTCGAAGGCTCCCAAGAGCGCCCCAAGAGCGTCCCAAGAGGGCCCCAAGAGGCCCCAAAAGGCTCCCAAGAGGCCTCCAAGAGGCCCCCAAGAGACTCCCAAAAGGCCACAAGAAGCTCCCCGAGATACGCAAGAGGCCTCCGGGACCGCCAAGAGGCCCCAAAGACGGCCCAAGAGGCCCCCAAGCTCGCCATTGTCCTCCTCCTCCTCCTCTTTTTCTCCCTCCTCCCTCCTCCCCCTCCCCCTCCTCCGCCTCCTCCTTCTCCTCCTCCTCCTCCTCCTTCTCGTCCTCCTCGTCCTCGCCCTCCTCCATCTCCTCCTCCTCATCTTCCTCCTCCTCCTCCTCCTCCTCCTCCCCCCCTCCTCCTGCTCCTCCTCCTGCTCCTCGTCTTCCTCCTCCTACTCCGACGACGACGACTCCTCCTACATCCTCCCCCTCTTGGGGCGTATGGCGGCTCAACCCGCTCTTTGTTCTTCTGCATGCTCCCCCGCTTCCCTCATCACCTCCACTCCCCTGGGGCTCATTTCTGGACGGGCTGGTGGGGATACGCGAAGCGTCTAGAATTGTGAGGACCTCCCGCGCGAAAGCGCGACTTGGGAATACATTGCGAGGACATGTCAAGCGGGAACCGTTGTTGTTGTAAACCGGGAGCCAGGGGCGCAATTTGGTGGCACCTTGCTTTCCCTTGTAAAGAACAGGGTGCGAGCACCGAGATAATCACTTTAATTGAAAAATGAAACGGTTACCGGGGAGGGGGAACCAACAACAATATTTCTTTAGAAATGAGAGTTCAACAACAACACCAATAACAAAAACAAAACAGCACCAGCATCAGCAACAGCAACAACACCAACACCAACAAACAACACCACCACCACCAACAACACCAATCACAACAACAACAACAACACCACCAACAACACCACCAACAACAAACAACGCCACCAACGACAGCAGCAACAACAACAACAAACACAACAACAACAACCACAACGACGACAACACCAACACCACCACCAACAACAACAACGACAACGACCATAACGACACTAAGACCGTGCAAGGCCGCTCGGGTCACTCACTTTGACTTATATCAAATACAATCATAGGCACCTCTCCTAGGAAGCTCGAGCTCGGAGTCGATTATGGCGCTGCCCGGTCGCAATTTGCCTGGGCGATTCGCTGTGGACATCCTCATGACTATGAACATCGGGCGCACCCCTCGCGCAGATCGGGACATCAGGGTCCAACAACACTACACACTTGATTTCCAACATTGTAGCATGACACCTTTAAGAACACACTGAGTGTCAAGGATGAATCACACAATTGCTTCAATGTCATTACTTGTTCCGATCGTTTCCGATGTAGCGCGTGTCAGGATTGAAGAAAGACAGTTTTAATCACAATGGCATCACATGATTTTGCACATGACTGCGGTTCCCAGTCTAGGCATCCAACTTTGCTATACCCAGTCTCAACGCGTGATCTAATCGCAAGCTGTGGCATCCCCATCGGTCCCCCCAATGCATTTTGTATGAGCTTGGGCACGCATGTGCGTCAATATGCCCCCCTCCGCGGTCACGCCACATCCGTAGACCAACACCTACCAACGCACGAGGAAGGACCATGTATGAGGGCCTCTCGAACCTCGTGAGGTCCAAGCTGGTTCTGGAGGGCCTCAAGGTGGCATCAAGGCGCCCCAGGAATGCCTCCAAGACCCAAGACTGCCCAGGAAACCCCGCAGACGGCGCAAGAGGGCCCTCCAGAGGTAAAGGCATGCTCCCCCAGCAGTGCTTGGACTCGGATGGGCCGGCCGAGGCTTTTTGCTCTGGTGGACGCCGGGCGCCGGGTTTTCGCCTGGTGCCCGCCCGACCCGTGGGCGCTTCGTGGACGCCTCGTTTGCTGGGCTGGCCAGCTGGAATTTCGTCCCTGGTGCCCACCCGTGGACGCTTTGTCAGCGCCGGGAGAGTCAGACGAGGCGTCGCCTGGTTGAAGGGGCCCTGGGACACACAAATACATGGACACATCTAGCAGGATTCCCAATATTTTCGCATATTTTCTGGATTTTTGTCTTGCCCCCCACTTCCCATATCTTCCTGGGAGTGGACGATTAATCGTGTCTGTGTTTTTTTCCCTCCTGACTGGTGCCTACCCGTGGGCGCCTCGTGGACGCCTCGTTCGCTGGGTTGGTCCGCCGGGGTTTCGCCCAAGGCCCGCCCGCGGGCGCCTCGTCTGCTGGGCGGGCCAGCCGAGGTTTCCCCTGGTGCCTGCCCGTGGCCGCCTCGTGCGGCGACCGCCTGGATTACACCATGCAGCTTTCCCCACCCACTCTGGGCTTCTTACTCAACGTGGGGGGGGTCCCCCCCCCCGACGGGGGTCAACCTCGCCTCGTCGTCGCACCGCGACGGGGGTCGGAGCGCCTTCGGCGCGCGCTGGCTGCCAGCGACGGGGGTCGATGTGGGGCTGTCGGCGGGGGTGGCGTCCCCCCGACGCTTATTAAGAAACTCGGGGTATAGATTGCACCGTATTGCGTAAGCGTACAGCTGACAACACACAACATGAAACCACGCAGCTGACACCACATAATTTACAGCACACATGTTGTACCGCGCAGCTTCCTCGACATAGCTTACGCCACATAACATGCGCCACATGGTTGCGCAAACTTATACGTGCACGAAATTGTGTGCACCATAGCTTGCACCACATATATCGCACCACGTAGCGTACACCACGTAGCAGCGTAACATATACCACATTGCTAACGCGTACCCTGGCATCCATGCATTGCTTGCTTTGGTGTTGCAGATTCTAGCGTTCGTGCCATTTCGCGCGTCCGACGGCCCCACAGACCTTCAAGATGGCGCCTTGACGGGGCAAGAGGCCCCCAGGAGGGCCCCAAGAAGGGCCAGGAAGGCCCGGCAGGCCTCCAAGACGGGCCAAAAGACTCCCAAAACGGTCGCAGAGGGCCCCGAGCCGGCCCAGAGAGGCGCCGAAAACTGCCGCCCAAGGCGCCAGACGGCGCAAGAGCGCCCGAACCTCCCCAAACTGGCCAAGGCTGCCCAAGAGGCCCCCGCGAAAAACCGGGCCCCAACGAGGAGAGCCGCGAAACGGCTCCCCACGGAAATCTCCAGAGGCCCGCAGGAGGCCCCGCGGGTTGCAGACGTGCCCTCGCGAAGCGAGAGGCATCTCGGTCCGGAGGCGAAGCGGAACTGGTCGCCAGAGGTTGGTCTGTAGCGGGGCGGAGGCTAACCTGGTTGCATGTGGTTGCATGACATACGTATGCGTTGTACTGTTATGTGCTCCCGGGCCCCCCCCCGGCGCTGCGCCACAACCGTAAGTTCCGTACCAAAGATGGGCGTGACAGATATGCGGGTCTGGCGAAAATCATGCATTTTTGGCCCATCGGGCCTCTCAAAGAAAGACGAGGGCCTCGAGACGGCTCTGAAGGCGCGGAGCAGGCCCAACGTGGTCCCAACACTGCCACTGCCAAGGGTGGCCTCGAGAGGGCCCAACAGGCCCCCAGTACGGCTCAAGGCAGCCCCGAGAGGACCACCAGCAGGGTCATTATGGACCCAACTCATTTATTTCCCGCACTGCTTAAGAATGATGCTCAGGTTCTCGTTTTTTGGAAGACGTTCGGCAACCTCTCTCTTTCTCAATCCTTCCCTCTGTCTTCCCTCTTCTCCCTCATCCTCCGCATACTCCGCCTCCTCCGCCTCCTCCCCCCCCTTCCCCTCCGTCGTCACAGCCCCACCCCTGGACCACTTCTGGGAGTCGAGCCGCCACGACGAGACCCCTCGCTGATGCCCCAAAAAGGGTACAACAACGCCAGAACCACAACCCTCCTCTAACTCACCCTCCCCCCTCGCACAGAATTCTCTGGCCTGACGCGCGGGGCGGCGCCGTCTGGAGCGGCTCCACGGCCGCTGCGGACGCCGAGACGAAGTCCTGCGAGGAGGCCAGAGGATTAGGAGGAGGAGGAGGAGGAGAAGAAACATGACTAGGAGGAGATGGAGGATTAGGATGACTAGGAGTAGGAGGAGGAGGAGGAGGAGGAGGAGGAGGAGGAGGAGGAGGAGGAGGGGCGTGGAGCAGGAGGGAGCAGCAACAGCGGTACCCCGCGCGCGCAACGCTCGACGGCTCGTCGTCCCGCTTCTGCTCCTCCCGCTGCACACTGCTCCTCTCGTCCCGCTCCTGCAACTCCCGCCGCTGCTGCTCCCTCCTCCTCCTCCTCCTCCTAATCCTCCTCCCCTCCTCCTCCTCTCCCTTCTCGTATCCGCTTCCATCCTCCGTATCCTCTTCGACGAGCTGCTGTTCCGCCTCCTCCGCCTCCTCCTCCTCCTCCGCCTATTCGTCACTCCTCCTCCTCCTCCTCCTCCTCCTCCTCCTCCTTCTCCTCTTCGTCCCCCGCCTCAGCCGACCCCGATCCCTCTCCTCTTTAGTCACACCTCGAGGTGGAATCGCGGAAGAGGAGGAGGTTTCTGGAGGCGCTCGAATTTAGTGTGGTTGTCTGAAATATTCAGGGGTCTCCTGGGAAATATGAACATGAGCTCGAGGGCACCCAGACGGGGATGATGGGAGGGGAAGAAGCGGAGGAGGCGGGGGAGGAGGAACGAGGACCCTCGGTCGGATACAAGGCACAAAGCACACAGAGACGAATGCGGACTAACAACTCCAACTATACTCACGACGGATCCTCGAATTATCGAGCCGACCATGCCAATGAGTCATTCCGTTCTCGCCGGGGGGGCGGGGGCTGACCTACTTGAGTTCACGGGGGTAGCCAAAGCATGGAGATCTCTAAGGGTGCATCGAAGAGTAAGCGGAAAACCCCCCCGCCCTGACCTTGCTGACGACACTTGGGTAGCCAGACGGGGGCATTTCTCAAAGATGGACAGAAGGCCTTCCCGAGGGTGGATAATCAACGGCGCGACTCATCCGCGGCCCCTGATCACTGGCCCCGACCCACCCTGTGACTACGCCTGGATCTTCGGATCTGCCAATTTTGGTGAGCTTGGGGACCCCCGCTACCAACCCATACCCACGACCAAAATGGCCGCCAGATAGAATAAAGGAAGGCGGATGATCGGTATGACTTGGTGAGGCTTATGGCCCAGAAGCGAAGGTGAGGGTTGAAGGGGCGAGGGAGGAGGGGAAGGGAGGGGAGGGGGAGGAGGGGCAGGGGACGGGAGACAGGATGAGGGGAGGAGAGGGAAGACAGAACATGCCTGGATGATCGGACGAACAAGCCGCGCGCCCCAACTCCCGCTCGACAACGGCCTCGAGGCGTCGAGGCTCGGCCTGCCCGCGTGCAAAGAAGACACAATGTCGGACGAGTGCCAAAGTTGTTCGTCTGGGACAGAGTGTTAGACTCTGTTTGGCCGTGGGCTGGCGACAAGCTCCAACTCCCTTGCACTACCCCATAACACAACGCGACGAGTGGGGACCAGACGAGGGCCCGAAAAATGAACGAAGCGAGGGTCAAGGAAGTCACCACGGCGGAGGGACATCGACCGAGGAGGAAACCGAGGCAGGCGAAATGTTAGAGCCAATACGAATCAATCTCGGGATCTGATTCCGATGCCTTGAAAGAAAATCGACGGCCAATGTTGTGTTAGCCAATCGGCCGTCTCCGACAACCGTTCCTGGGCCCCGCGGACTGCGACAGAAACACACTGCGAAAAAAACTGGTCTCGCAGATGAACCAACGACGCCAGACAACACCCGACAAACCTTTGAATCCCACCGCGGACACCCCCGCTCCCATCGCATCGCCTCCCTGCCAGCCGCGCGCGCTGCGGCTCCAACGCCGCGTCTTGCACCCCAGTGGGCCCCTCCTCGTCGTCCAGCACCTGCGGGCCACGAGCGGATGTCTGGATCGGCTCTTGAGGCGTAGGGAAGGGAGACTGGAGGATAGTGTGAGGGGAAGGGAGGAGGGATGGTGAACGGATTGGATTTACGTATGGGGGCAGGTATGAAGAGGCGAAGTGGGCACGAGGGAGATTAGTCTTCCCGCTGTCTCCCTCGTGCCTCTTCCACCCCCCTGGCAATTGTCCTCCTCCTCAACCTCCTCCCCCCCTCATGATCAACATCCTCCTCCTCCTCCTCCTCCTCCTCATCATCATCGTCAACATCATCCCAATCATAATCAGCATCATCGTCGTCAGCATCATCATCAGCAATATCATCACCAGCATCATCAGCCCTATTAGCATCGTTGACATCATCACCAGCATAGTCGGCATCAGCTTCATCATTGACATCAGCATCAGCATCAGCATCACAACGGACATCATCATCAGCAGCATCAGTAGCAACATCATCATCACCATCATCATCATCCTCATCCTCACCATCCGCATCTTCAGCAGCATCATCATCATCATCACCATCACCATCATCATTATCATCGTCCTCGTCCCGATCATCATCGCCATCACCTTTATCATTGTCACCATCATCATCATGATCATCATCACCATGTCATCGGCATCGTCGTCGTCATCATCACCATTATCAGCATCGTCACCATGATCATTACCATCACCAGCAGCATCATCATCGTCGTCATCATCACCATCACCATCACCATCGTCAGCACCATCAGTATCATCAGCATCGTCACCATAAGCAGCATCATCACTATCAGCATTAACATCGTCATCGCCATGATGATGATGATCATCATCATAATCATCATCATCATCATGATCATCGTCATCGTCATCGCCATCGTCATCACCATCGCCATCGCAATCGTCGTCATCGCCATCATCTGCATCACCACCACCATCGTCATCACCACCATCACTATCATCATCACCATCACCATAACCATCATCTACGTCAGCATCATTATTAACACCACCATCATCAGCAGCATCAACAGCATCATCAGCATCAACATCTTCATCACCATCATCATGAAACAGCATCATCACTATCATCATCATCGTCATCAACAACACAATCAGCATCATCGTCGTCGTCACGATCATCATAATCAGTAGCAGCATCATTCGCATCAGCATCAGCATCATCATTATCAATATCATTATCATCAGCAGCATCAACATCATCACCATCATCACGTATTACATTGAACAGATGATGGTCCGGCTCCCATGGTAGAAGGGAAATGTATTAGATTCCCCCACTCGTCCTCCCATTCCCTCCTCCTACCAGCCCTCCCCCCGCTCCAGCGCTGGCGCGGCGAGCGGCCCTTCTACGAGCATAGCGACCTGGGACCACCGCCGCCTCGACGGCGAGGTCGAACGCGCCGTCTTGGTTCTGGAATGACAGGACGACGACAGGCAGTGGCCCGACGATCCCGTCCGCTGCGCCGCGGCTGGCAAGCAGGTCGAGCTGAAGGTGGCCGCCGCGGGCAGTGTCGGGGGCGCGCAGACATGGATTGGCGATCCATGGATTCGGCGCGCGGTCACCAAATCCATGGATCGGGGGAGGTGCCCTCCCCAAAATGCGGCCACTGCCGCCTCGCTCGGCGGCGGAAGTCCGCGATTTCCCATGGAAGCGAGAGCAGTCGCGAACCGACGCCCCTTGATCAATGTTCGCGATCGCCTGACAGGTGGCGCTACCTTGACGGCTGCCTAAGCCTAAGGGTGACGATGTGAATGGAACGACCTCGGTAAACTTCAAAATAAATTATACCCAGGGAAAAAGGCAATGATATGTCCCCAGGCCACAGCTGATGGTCCCAAATGAAGGGGCGTTTCACGGCCGCTTGGCTGACAAGCATCTGAAGAGGGTGTCCGACACCTGGCGATCCCCCAACAAAAAAAAACATCACCTGACAAAAGGCCCGATCCTATGCAGCTGTGAACCACGCGAGAGATGACCCTCTCCTTGAAAGGTAGCGTTGCGTCGGGCATGTCCCTCTAGAGGATGGACATTCAAAAACTGCGAAAAAAACACGGGGACGATGTGCTGGAGGGAAGAGTAGAGCTTACGTCGGATAGCCTTCCGAGGCGTCGTCGGGGGGAGCGAAAGGAGGATAGGGGGCAGAGTGCCACGTGCAACCGCCATATGAGTTTTTTTTTTTTTTTTTTTTTTTTTTTTTTTTTTTTTTTTTTTTTTTTTTTTTTTTTTTTTTTTTTTTTTTTTTTTTTTTTTTTTTTGTTTTTTTTTTTTTTTTTTTCTCAATACGGTGTGTAAACGAGTAATGCAACAATCATCAGAGCGGCCAACGGCACGAAGAGTTCCCAATTCGCGGCAAAAGTCGGGACAGTGTTCGGCACACCTCGCACGCGCTGCAATGCTGATATGAGGGAAATGCTTCAGACTGGTACCCCCGCCGCACAGACTCAGGTTCTCGAGTAGTCCCGTCGGCCTCGCATTCCACGGGCCGTTCCTTAACAGTTGTGCGCGCCGACGATATGCACCGCGGTGCGTAGAACTGCAGCACATACTGCAGCAAGGAAAGACAGAGCGCGTGAAACGTCCACGAACTCTGCGCCAAGACAACTCCCGCACGACGCGCGTCCATAATGCGGTCCAAAAGGCGCGGGATCAGCTCACCCCACGCATGGGCAGCGCCCTCGGGACCGATCATCACCCCCAAATATTTGGCAACATGTGCAATATTAAAATGAATGAATGTACTGTGGGCCCAAGGAATCTGCCAGATCCCGGACAGTCTGAACCGCGGCATCGCCGACAACCAAGAGAACGCATTTTTCAGGTTCAGCCTAAACCCAAATGGGGCCTTCCAGGGAGCCGATCAACTGCAAAATGAGCCCAGGCCCAGAGAAGGCGTCAACCATAAAGAAAATAAGGTCGCCACAAAATGCAAGCAACCGATCCATGTGGCGGCTCCCACGGCGCGGCGGCCACCGCGTCGCGGGGTCCACCGCAAGCGCAAAGAGACACGTGCTAGACGGGCCCCCTTGCCTCGCCCCCCGCCAAATTTCAATGTCAGAATCAGTCGCAGCTCCTCCCGGCATGATAGCGCCACGATTGTTGGCATAAGGAGGGCGCAGAAGAAGGCGCATATCGCTTGCGGCACCCCCATGCTGCCAGCACACGCACAAGCCACGCAACGTGCAGCGATGGGGCGGCTGCCGCGAAATCGGTCAACAGTTGCAAACGATTCGGACTCCGACACCCCATCGGTCGGCGATAACGATGTTCGACGAAATGGCCCTTCCATTCGCACCCCCACGCTGGTCCACGTGAACAGTGCACTCAGACGACTCTGCGAGTGGCGAACCGAAAGCAACAGACATCAACTTGGCATCGGAGTCGCAACGGGCCAGCGGTCGAGTAGTTTCAGGCGACCTCGCACCCCCATGCGCCGCATCATCAGGGCACGAGCCCTTCGGCAGGAGAAAAAGCAACATATCATGCATGTTCGCAGGTAGAGTGCAGCTCCCATTCTCACACAGCTCCTCATGCACATCATCATAAAGTAACCTCACCCCCTCCCCCACCTGCCACTCAGCATGCGGAAGGCCATCCTTCCCAGGGGCCGTACTCCGCATAACGCAACTTCCACTCGGGCACTTGGTCTGAAGGCAGGTCTTGCACCTGTTGGCAGCGCTGTAGAATCTCAGGCCAGAGTGTCCTGTCAGTCGGGGCGGCGCGAAACACGTCGCCCCAGTGCGAAGACAGCGCGCGGCGCGCATCATCATTGCCCCTGCAGACAGTCCTACCCTCATCCCGAATGCCGACCAGCAAAACCCGCCGTCGGAACAGCTGCCAAAAGTGGCGCGCGCGCGGCTCCCAACGGGCACTTTCCTTGGCGACCTCGCCCCCCGGAGAAATCCCCCCACCCCCGCCCTCCAATGCCTGCTCTTCCTCGTCAATCCGTTGTAGCAGAAGCTGGCTCGCGCGCTGGCAGAGAGCGGGCAGATCGAGACATCGCATACTCTCGACGTCAAAGTACCGCTCAACATGCGGGTAGAATGCAAATGCACGCGCGCACAAACGAAACTGCTGTAATCGTACACCCCGATTGGCCATCATGGTCCAGTAATGCTGTTCAGCAAGGCCCTTCGCAGGCCGGCTCTGGATTGCACTCCTTACCGCCGGCGCAACAACGCGACGATCCTCCCTGTGGCCAACGCGAGCCGAGCAGTGGGAGCTCAGGAACATCTCGCTATCAGATTTCTCATGCTCAAGGGCACGGCGCAACCGCGCGGGCACGCTTCGAGTCCGACGAGGGTCAAAGCTCCCTAAGATCACCAGAACAGGACGATGATCTGAGGGGCAGGTATCCATCTCACCATGCACGGTGGCAGTCACGGTCAAGTCGGCGAGAATAGCCGATGGGGTGTTCGAATAGATCCTGCCGAGGCGCGAGGCGCGTCGCAACGTCGCCTCAGCGCTCCATCCGAGGCGGGCGGGCTCGAGCTGCGAATGCTCGATCCACTCGCAGCGCAGGCCGAAGAAGAGATCATGGAAGGTCCGACCCCCCCTCGTTCCAATGCTGCCCACCCTCCGTCATCCTCCCTTCGCCCCACACAGCGTAATTCCAATCCCCCACCGTCGCGTTGAGAGAGCACGTGCCACGCGGCATGCGGCGACAGACCGCCCGCGAGACACGCTCGTAAAGCGTCGCGCCTAGATTCGTATTCGGCATGGGACAATTCGCAGTCGTCACAGCCCCTCTCCTCCCATTAAGTCTCGCAACCATCGCCCCCCCCCCCCCCCCCCCCCCCCCCGCAACCGCAATCTGGTGCGATCTATCCTCGAACTCGCGGCGCAGACGCTCGCTGAGAACGGCGATGATTCCACCTGCCGCCGAAGACTGCAAGAAGCCAGACCCTTCGCGCGATGTTTTTCAGCCGTTGCATGAGCGAGACCACGCCCCCGATGGATGTGCGCGTGACATTTT